AGTGGGAGAGTCTCAGCCTAATAACAGGGTTGCGTCGGGCCATGGCACTCTGGTTGACCCTGCAAACACGTGATCTAGAGTGTCCACAGAGAGGCCTCCAGGTGGGGGGACTAGGGGGTGATCACGTGTCCGGGGAGAGCTCTCGAGAGGGATCGAGGGGGAGCTAGAAGGCTCCAGAAGGTGGGCGGAGCCAGGGGCAGGGCGGCGCCGACCCGTGGGGGGATATAAGGCGGGTCCCTGAGAGGGACCGGGGTCGCTGCATTCTACAATCTGAAGCTCCACGTCCACCAGCTGGAAGCTCTACGTCCTACGAGGCAACCACATCACGCGATGCCCAAGCAGGCTCGACAGCTGTGATTAGCGCCGTGGTACAGCTGACATTTCCTATTCACGCTCTGCCAGCTTTTAAACACTAACACGTGCCACTCAATACTGCAATTGTTCTTTGTAATAAATTGTTAGCCTTAATTTAACGCAGTTGAGTGCCAGACTTCTTGAGCGGAATTTATACTGAGCTCAACCACATCACAATATTACGTACGCATGCTTAACTATGCTTACATGATCACACAGCAGCAGCCATGGTGTATCCACTGCTGGATGAAAGCCTACCTACACCGTCGCTACCCCACAATGCGTCCCCCCCCCCCCCCCCCTTGCACATGAGCCGTCCTTTGGCTGTTATTCCGTCACCACTCTTGTCCACCTGCCATAAATCATTCTTGGGATGTGTCGTGCCCAAGCTAACTTACTTCTCTCAACAGTTAATATGACGGCTTTCCCATCCCATATCAATCGTAGATTGTTGGACCGTACTTCACCACACTGGTGAATGCGTGTTGATGAGGGGGTGCTGGCTAAAGTAGCCACTCGAGACACCCTATTGCAGGGGTGGGGAATGTGCGGCTCGCGGGTCGTATAAGGCCCGCAAAATCAGTTGCTCTGTTCCAGCCATCACATTAGGGGTGAGTTAATTAAATGCTTGACCAAATATAACAGGCTAATTTTTAAGTTGATAATTTTGTATGGCCCGCGAATGATGTTATAAATATTCAAATGGCCCTTGGCAGAAAAAAGGTTCCCCACCGCCTACCCTATTGGGTGACTTTAATGCCCGAGTGGGTCATGACGCAAACAACTGGGCCGGAGTGATTGGAAGGAATGGGCCAAATCAGCTAAAAATAACGAGTTCAAGGAAAAACATCTGCTGGACTACATAGTGATAGAACAGCGGATGGGGGGCCATGTACTTGACACCAGGAACTACCGTGAAGCTGATCTGCCCACTTGTCATCTGTAAGATATCATCTGTAAGATGACAAGCTTGTCATTCTTCCACTGCGGCGGTGGACGTCCACATAGGACCATATTAAAACTCGCAATAGCCTGGTCTCAGCTAGCTGACGAAAGTTGCAAGTGAGAATTTCATCATCGCTTGCAGCTGGGGTTGGGATCGTCCCCCCCCCCCTCCTCCTGATGCCGAGGGGAAATGGGTGAGGTTAAGGACTGTGGCTCATTCAGTTCCAATGGCTACATTGGGTATGCAGTCCACACCTCCCCAGAGACCATGGTTGATAAAGGTGTTCCAGCGAGTTCAGAGAAAGCGACAGGCCCACTCCCACCATCTACAACATCCCAAGTCGGAGAATGAGGAGGCTTACCGCAGCCTTCGCTCAGAGGTAAGGAGAGCTGTGCGGCGCTGCAGAGATGAGTGCTGATGAGATGGAATCTGCCTCGGGAACCCGCGATCATTCATCACTCTTTAATTCCATAAAAAAAGAAACTTGCAGTGCCACACCTATCACCATCTTGAAGGGACAAAAAAAGTGATCCGATCTCCAACCCCCAGGAACAGGTATGCAGATTTGCAGATCATTTCTGTGAGTTCTTGGGGAAGGGGAAATCCCTCAGCTCAAATAACACCATGGGGGAAGGTGGGAACGACCATGCTGGAACTGCCATGCCTCAATATTGGAAGAAGTAACCACCCCGTCATTGGCTGGCTGAGGTGCCATCTGTTGAGGAAGTAGGAGGGGTGATCAAAAGTATTAGACCAGAAAGATCACCGGGCAGTGATTATCTCCCAAGCAAACTGCTGAGGGTGGATGGCGTCTATGTGCAGACCACCCTAAATGACATCATCACAACTGCCTGGATCATAGGATGGGATCCGCAGGGATTGCATGATGTCCTTGTAGACCCCTCTTTAATAGGGGGGTCGTAATGATTGTAACAATTACCAGGGCATCTCCATCCTCATTGTGCCAAGATATGTCCTGAAAAAGATTATTGAACATCCCCTTGCCAGGCATGCTGAGGAGAGGCTTGCATAGTCCCAATGTGGTTTCAGTCCAGGGCGGTTCTGCACAGTTGCCATATTCTCTGTATGTCTGCTACAGCAGAGGTATAAGGCACTTAAACGGACCTACATCTCTGCTTTATACCATCAGTAGGCCAGGGCTCTGTGTTTTTCTTAGTGCTTTTGGGGTCCCTGACTCTTTGTTCAGAATCATTAAGGACCTTCATGGTGGTGGACAGGCCCAAGTAAAGCTGCATGGCCGGGAATCAGACCCATTCACTTTTCACCTTTGAGTGCGACAGGGATATCCTCTGACTCTCACATTATTTAAAATATTTTTCGACCACGCAGTTTGAGAAGTTTTCCATGGCTGAACCAGAGGAATTTATATCTGATACAGATGCAATGGGAGCCTGATCGATGCCCGGATGCAATCAAAGAATGGCTCCCTATTGGTCAACTATGTTATGTATGCTGATAATCTGGTGATTGCTGCTCAATGAGAATGATTTGGAGGTTCTGCTGCTGAACATCGAGCATGCCACTAAGACGTGGGACTTAACTATCAGCCTCATAAAAACTAAGCAACTGCCGATATATGTTGTGTCATCCAAAACTCCACCCCCTCAATTCCCCATGAGGGGTCGTTCATAAATGATATCACGCACCTGGGGGGGGGGGGTGTCAGACATTTGTGACGATGTGTGACGAGGGGGGGTGAGAAATGTGACGTCACATCAAAAAGCGCAACTTTAAATAAATATAGACAACATGTTCTACTTGATTAAATAGACTTTTTAATAAATGTTTTCTCCTACAACATCAGAGTGCAGCGCCACATATATTTATTTTGGGGGGGGGGGGGGGGGGGGGGGTAGAGCTTTGTGACGTCATATTTGAGAGGGGGTCTGACTTTTGTGACGCCGTGTGACGAGAGGGGGAGGGGTAAAAAATCGTCCAAAATCGCGTGACGTCATTTATGGACGGCCCCATACTACACGCTTAGTCACCGACGATTCTGGCACACAATAACAGGTCCCTGCAGGGTGGGCTGGTAAGCACATTGGAATTTTTCACTTCGTTAAAGTATTGAAAGGGGACGGACGGACGGACACATTAATCTATTGCAGGCTGGTACACTCAGTTTACAACTTCGTTCCTACCAGTATAATTTCACGTGTTTATAAATCACCTCACGTAACCCGCATCTCCGATTGCCACGTACCCCCTGCCCTGGGTTGAGAGCCACTGCCTCTCGGCTGACCCTCGACGCAGGCGCCAACCGACTAAGTTCACGGGATCAGTGACGCAAGGCAGGCGCGATAGAAGAGCGGCGACAGGGAGATGGTGACGGCGTGGCAGCGGGATTCGTAGAGCCAGTGGTTACGCGAAGTGGGAAGAGGATTCAAAACAGATGGACGTATGTTGAACTTCTTTGGGACCGTCCATAAATGACGTCACGCGATTTTGGACGATTTTTGACCCCCCCCCCTCGTCACACGGCGTCACAAAAAGTCAAACCCCCTCTCAAATATGACGTCACAAAGCTCTGCCCCCCCCCCCCAACCATATTTCCATTTTGGAAATAAAACATGCTTCAAATCGCTTAGAACTATTGTCATTGTAGTGCGTATTTAATGTGGCGCTGCACTCTGATGTTGTAGTAGGAGAAAACATTTATTAAAAAGTCTAATTAAGTAGCACGTAATGACGAGCACCAATTGGGTCGAGGCTCAAAAGAAATCCGTCCCTTGGTGTGGACCAATCAGTTTCAAGGACAATGCATATATTATAATAGTATGTTTTTGTTTGCATTTTGACGGCAGATATTGTGGTTAATGCAGACATTAATCCTTGTAAAAAGGTTTCAGTTGCCAAAAAAAGGGGAAAACCCTATTATTATATTTTGGTACTGGCAAAGGAGGTCTAATAAGTAGAACGTGTTGTCTATATTTAAAGTTGCGCATTTTGATGTGACGTCACATTTCTCAAACCCCCCCCCGCTCTCGTCACACATCGTCACAAATGTCTGACCCCTCCCCCCCACCCCCCCCCCCCCCCAGGTGCGTGACGTCATTTATGGACGGCCCCTTTCGCACCGTACACAGGCAACGGCGCTAATCGGAGATGCGGATGTGCGGTCTCCAAGCTCACACTTTAACAAAATAAAACTACCTTTGGTATCGTCATTAGGGGTAATTATTAAGCCTCCAACATCCCCCCCATGTGACATCGCCACAGTGGTACAGCCCAACCCGGGGGGGGAAGGCCCCGTGACATCGCCACAATGGTACAGCCCAACCCGGGGGGGGGGGGAGGCCCCGTGAGAACGCCACAATGGTACAGCCCAACCCGGGGGGGGGGAAGGCCCCGTGAGAACGCCACAATGGTACAGCCCAACCCGGGGGGGTGGGAGGCCCCGTGACATCGCCACAATGGTACAGCCCAACCCGGGGAATCCCGGGGAACCTTTCGCGTGACGTCATCGCAAATATATGACGTCACGCGCCAACATGGCGGCCTACATGCGCAACGTGATCGGAGGTCAGCAGTCCGCGTGCGGATCGCGTAAACAAAAACAAACAAATAAACCGACGAACGCGTAAACAACCAACACGGGCCCGCCGCCTTCTTACTCACAGCGTCGTGCAGCAGCCGAGCCAACTGTAACGCGCGATTGCTACCTTCCCGGTGACTTATGCGGTTTAGGCCTTGGGACTGCAAGCCGTTGCGACACTCGCAGCTTGCAGTCCATGTGGCAAGTCCACTGCTGGATGAAGGCCTCTTCACGCTGCGTCAATCGTTGAGGGGGGGGGGGTTGTTATTTGACCATAGGAAAGGCGCGGCTCGACCGGGTGTGTTGACGGTCCCGAATAATAGCGGAGTGGCAACCAAGGCGTTGGGACGCGTCTTGGGGGACGTGCAACGAGGAGATGGAGCGATGATTTCGCGTGCAGGTGCTCGGTGGTTCGATTGCATCGCAGGATCATGGGAAGTGGCGGTAGCCACGGTGGCGAGATGTTAACTACCTCGCCCGGTATACAGGAGGTCAATCCCGACCCTGTCGCCTGCTGCTGTATATTTGAAGTTTGCGGCGTCTCTCTCCCCGTGGTCGCGTGGATTTTTCTCCGGGTCCTCCGGTTTTTTCCCTCATTTCGAATGAGCATCACGCGTTTAGAGTAACTGGCTGCTATGCATCCTTTGTGGCCATGTCGCTTATGAAAATGAGCTATGTAGCTTAATGGGCCTTACCTGGTAAAATAAAAAAAAATTACCTCGCGTTCTTAATTGCTTGCTTAGTTTTAGAAGGCCTTCATTCAACGGTGGATCGATCATGGCTGGTGATTTGTATGCATATGTGCAGGCTGTGTGCAATGCGGGAGCAGTGTGGCACAGCTATATGAGATCACTTCACTCTACCCGCGATACCTGGGTTCAATCCTTGGTCACGGTCTCCCCTCTTTTAACGATCTGAACCTGGCCTTAGGCCGTCTCCCCTAAGTCGACTCGGGTAAATTGGCTGCTCGGATACCCGCTGTGTTGTACTGATGTAACACGCGGGTGTCGTATCCTGCATTATGCCAGGACACCACTAGACATCACCAGGAGCACTGTGACGGCGATTCTGACTGACGGATTTGATGATAGACACCCCTTGGGAAGTGCTGCTCCCGACTGTGGACCAGCGGTCGCTTTAAGGGATCTTGGATGTAGCTCTGTGTTATCCGCTTCCGTGGACACACACTTTTCTCAAAACACTTTCCAACTGTTGTCATCCACCCTGGGACACGCACCCCAGGCTCGTGTCGATAAGTTGATGCCAGTTTGTTATTTTGTCCGCATCTTCCTCGAAGAGCCACGTTTGCAGGGCAGCTTCATGACCACCGTGCGTCTGTCTCGTGCGTGCAGCACTGCAGACTGGCGGATTGCGGCTGCTGCCGCTGCAGGCGGAGCTGCTGGCGCCGTCGCGGGCTCAGGCAGCGCCGTGTCGCCTGGCTCGCACGTCCGCAGCTGCCACCACACAGGACCAAACGTAGAGTCGCACTAAACCTGTACACTCTATACGGCTAACACGCGTCTCACTGGAATTTGTTGTTGTATTGCATTGCTGTAAACCCTCGATTAAGGCTCAAACATGTACTCACTGGGACCTGAAAGTAAAATCGAGTAATTTCTACAACCAACAACAACACATGCGTCATCTCCAATCCCTCGCCCATTGCAAGCCACGCACGTATGCATGTTGAACTTCTTTCGCGCCGTACGTAGCCAACCGTGCTAATCAGAGGTGCGGAGGAAGGACAACAAACTAAGCACAAAAAGCAGTTCTAAAGAAATTAGTTTTCAATTTAGATGATTTAAAAGTGCATTGTTCCAGTGGCTTCTGAATATCGGAAGGAAGAGCATTCCAGATGGCTGCAGAAGCGCATCAACATTACGCACACACATACCTCCTGGCTTTGACAATCCTCCTCGAGGACACTGGTGTAACCATGACCCACATCTGAACAACAGGCCGATGGGCACATCTCCATAAATGGAATATTAATGCAAATCCACAGTGGTAGGAATGTGGCCGTGCAACCCAAACTATGGACTACATTGTAAACCACTGTAGTCTGCGCTCATTTGAGAGAGGAATAGCAAACCTACACTCTCTTGAAGCTCTCTTGTGGTGAGCTCACCTCGATGCCAGCATCTGGCTCTCCAATATTGCAATCATATGCAAGGATATAATTAAATCTTGTTTTGAAGCTTTCGTGACTGCAGGAATCCATACTCTTTGGTTCTTTCGGTAAAGTCACGTGGGTAGGAAAAATAATAGATCACGACGTCTCGATCGCAACACAAGCGACCGTCTTCAGGTTGGAGAGAAAAAGCTACTGAAACAAGGTCTTTTGTAGGCTTCAGATGGGTGCAGCCTCAGGGTAAGAGGGCGGGGCTAGAGATGGTCTACCTGAGTCTGTGGAAGTGGCTGTTGTATTGTGAGAGATTAGCATATCGTGCTACATAAGACCTTGTTTCAGTAGCTCTCTCTCACCTGAAGACGGTCGCTTGTGTTGCGATCGAAATGTGATCTATTCTTTTTTCTACCTACGTGACTTTACCGAAAGAACCAAAGAGTAAGGATATAATTACTGTAAACAAATTCTAACACTCTCTTCAGAATGATGTGAAATTCATCGAACAGAAAAGTGTGTGTAGGTTGGAAAAGAGAAAAAGCAAATGGCATGATTGGCGGCCATCGGCCAATCGTGCTTTGCAGCCAATTAAAAAAAAATGATACCGTGGAGTTTCTGTACCCCCTCCCTGTGTGGCAGTTTGTGCTCTGTACTGGGCTCTTATTGAAATATAATAACAGTCGGCAATGATGATTGTACTGTACTAGTGATTCCTAAGAGGGATGAAATCCCAACCCTAACACCAACCCTATTCGTAACATAAACCACAACCCTTAATCCCAACCACAACCCTTAATCCCAACACCAACCCGAACGCCAAACCTAACCCAACTCTTAATAACAACTCGAACCCACAACCCCGAATCCTGATTCCGACCACTAATCCAACCCCTGCTCCCTGCGCCCACACGCACCCACGCATGCACCCACGCATGCACCCACGCACGCACCCACGCATGCACTCACGCACCCACCCACTCACGCACCCACCCACACATGCACCCACACATGCACCCACGCACGCACCCACGCATGCACTCACGCACCCACCCACACATGCACCCACGCACCCACCCACACATGCACCCACACATGCACGTGTCTGCTGCCGGCTCTGCAGGCAGCGCGATGCGCGGCTCAAGAAGCGTCAGGCAGAGGAGGAGGAGAAGCGCGCGCGGCGGCGGCACAAGCGCGAGCTGTGGGGCGTGGGGCGCAGCTCGCTGCCCGTGGACGACGTCTTCCTGCTGCGCATGTACGCGCGTCCGCGGCAGGACGCGCGTGCCGCCCTCGCTGCGCTGCGCCGCTACGCGCTGCTCGACTACGCGGACCCCGCGCAGGACGTGCACGTGCGCCTGGGGCTGAACCTCTCCCTCGACAAGAACGTAGGCGGCGGCGGAGGCGGCGGCAGTTGCGCGTGGCGTGAAGGGGCGTCCGTGCGGTGCGCTTTGGGTGCGACGGCAATATTGGTGACGCGGTGATGGTGATGGCGATCGATGGGCACGCGCGAGACTGTGGTGACGGCGACGCCGAGGGGTGTGTGTGAGACAGAGATGGTGCTGGTGGTGAGTAATGCCGATGGGCGTGGTGGAGCGTGAAATTGCCGTGTGTGATGGTGACGGTGCCGTGCGTGACGGTGCCGTGCCGTGTGTCACGGTGACCGTGCCGTGTGCGACTGTGACGGTGCCGTCGGTGGCGCCGCTCAGGTTGGTGTCACCCCCCCCATGGACCTCCTCCCGTACCAGACCATACAGAATCCTTCCTTAGTCATGTGTTTTGTAGTAATGTTACTCGTAAATCGTAATTCACTGACTAATGGCAATAGTAGTGACATAAACAACGAGCAAAATACAAATTACACCTTGAAATTACAATATCATACGTACAGCCGAAATGTATTTACTTTTACATAGTTTCAGGTGGTTAAAGTGAAAATTCAGTAAGAAAAAAAACCGTAAAAACATTTAAGAACATGATGGAACCTTCTTTGGCAACATTTAAGGACTACATTAAAATCATATATATATTTGCAAGACAGTGATGTTTTAAAATATTTTTTTTAAAAAGACCAAAATAAAATTAATTTAAAATGTAAGTTATAATTCTAAACATGTATCAAGAATCATAGCATTTCCCCCCACTTCATGTTTTAAATTGTCAATTTCTCTATTTAGTTATCAAAGAGTTATATAATCAATAATCATAGAATAATATGTGATATAGTTGTAAATTGCTGAAATGTAATATTTCTTAGATTATATGAATACTAACAACAAAATTACTTTGTAAAATCTTTCTACATTGAATTATAACATTATTAGTTACAACATTATTAGTAACGTAGCAGAAGCCTTTTTAGATTTTTCTCCTTTAATTACTACTTCATTCTCAAATGAGTTATTGATATAGGTTCACAAATACTAATTTCCACAATATTGTAGCTTAAACACCAGAAATATGACAAAATCAGCGACTATAAAAACACGAGCAGCGACGAAAACAACAGCGCGTTCTTGCAGCGCGTGCAGACGAAACCACGTGACTCGAAGCGTCACTATTACCCAATTACACTATTACCCAATCACACGAAGCGTGTAGTTGGGTAATAGTGACAGCTCTGACTGGAGCGCATTAGAAGGTTAAAAAAGTAAATTAGCATAGAGTTTTAACCTTGTAGGTATATTGATACAGTACATGTAAGCTGGGTTTACGACCATTATTGTTGTTATAACTAACTACAGGGATATTTTTATGAAAAATAATACATTTCTGCCGAAACACTGCACAAAAATGTTATAGACGGTCATTTTGGTGTTACCCCCTCTGATGGTGTCACCCGGTGCGGTCCGCACACCACTGGGTGCCGCTGTGTGATGGTGACTGTGCCGTGTGTGACATTTTTGATGCCGTGTGTGACTGACGGTGCCGTGTGTGACGGTGCCGTGTGTGATGGTGCCGTTTGTGACGGTGACAGTGATGGTGACAGTGACGGTGACGTGTGTGATGGTGCCATGTGTGACTTTGTCATGTGTGATGGTGACGGTGCCATGTGTGACGATGTCGTGTGTGACGATGTCGTGTGTGATGGTGACAGTTCCGTGTGTGACGGTGCCGTGTGTGACGGTGACGTTTGTAACGGTGCCGTGTGATTGTCCCGTGTGTGATGGTGCCGTGTGTGACGGTGCCTTGTGTGACGGTGCCGTGTGTGACGGTGCCGTGTGTGACGGTGCCGTGTGTGATGGTGCCGTGTGTGACGGTGACGGTGCCGTGTGTGACGGTGCCGTGTGTGACGGTGCCGTGTGTGATGGTGCCATGTGATGGTAACAGTGCCGTGTGTGATGGTGACGTTGCCGTGTGTCACGGTGACCGTGTAATGTGTCACGGTAACGGTGCCGTGTGTGACGGTGCTGTGTGTCCGTGCCTCGCGCAGAAAAAAGTGGAGGCGTTCCGGAGCTACTTCCAGTACCCGAACCCCCTGGTTGCTCCTCCCAACAGCGTTCTCGTCTTCACGTCGGTACGGATTGAAGAGGCCCTCACTCGCTCGCAACTCTGCGATGACGATCGTCGTGATTGTGATGAGACAGTGATGCCGAGGGACGTGCCTGAGACAGAGATGATGATCGATGGTGGTGGTGAGGCAGTGATGCTGTTGGGCATGGTGGAGCGTGTAATTGCGCGAGAGACGGTGATGATGGTGATGGTGAAGTGACGATAGTGAGGTAGTGATGGTGATAGTGAGATGGTGGCGAGTGTGGTGGAGCAACTTATCTTATTGTACGTAGATTTATATCGCGGCTTAATCCAAGGAACTTTACAACGAAATGATGATAGTGGTTAAAATAATGGGTGAGGTTGTTATTAAAAGTTGTGGTGTAGTTATGGTGACAGGACAACACTAGATAGGGGTTAGGATAGTGATAGTGACAGGGGTAGTGATAGGAGTTGGGCTAGGCCTGGTCGTAGTTGGTGGGCCAGGCAGGGAGGAGCAGGACGATGGGCTAGGGGATAAGAGACGGGGGTTGTTTCAAGGGGATGAACGGAAGCTGCAGGTTGTTGTGATGGTGAAGATGGTTGCTCCGTGTGCTGCAGTGGGAGTTGGTCCCAGCGAAGTGAAGTGAGAAGGGAGAAGGAGCGAGACTGGGCGCAGCAGGGCGAGGGAGGCACAGAGAGGGACGGTGGAGACTGGGAGCGTAGGGGCGGGATGGGACAGAGCAGTCGAGAGACGAGAGAAGCGAGATATGGTGGTGGGGCAAGACCATGGAGGGAGTAATGGACTCGAGTGATGAATTTAAAAAGACAGCGATACGTAGACAAGGGGCCAGTGGAATTTGTACAAAGTAGAGCAGAAGTGTGGGAATCATGCGGGGAGGTTAAAAATGATCCGGGCCGAGACGTTTTGTGTTCTGCTGTTGGAGAGGAGTGAAGGCGTGGGCAGGAAGGCCGAGAAGAAGAGAGGTGCAGGAGTCAAGCCGAGTGCAAACAAAGGGTGCGAACCGGGAGTTTAGCGGCAGAGAGTGAGACGAGGGCATGGATGTTGCGAATATTGAATAGTGGTGGGCGTGGAACCTGGCAGAGGTGTGGTTGGAGAGGGAGGAGTAGAAGATGACCCCGAGGTTGCGAGCAAAGGAGGCAGGAGGAGTGAGGGAGAATGGAGGAAGTGAGATGGTAGGACAGGGCGGAGGGGAGCGGGGAGAAGGGAGGAAAAGGATTAGAGTTTTAGAAGGATTGATGGAGAGGTAGTGGGGTGACATCCATAATTGGACGGTGGTTAAAGAGTTGGAAATGTGGGAGCCAAGGTCAAGGGGTAAAGGAAGGAAAGGCGGCGGTGATGGCTCTGCCCCGAGTCCCGCAGCGCAAGTCGCTCCTCCGTGGCCGTGGGATTCACCTTCTTGTCTCCGCGTGTCCGAGCAGACGCCCGAGGAGACCCAGACGGCACTGCAACACGGGGCGACGCTGGCCGGCGGAGACGAGCTCGTGCAGCAGGTGTGAGGGGGCGGGGCTCGGGCAGGGCTGCAGAGGGGGCTCATCTCCCTCGGTTGTGAAATGTGTGTTATGAATAAAATAATTATAATCATAATCTTTAATTAAACTGTAAGAATCCGACAAGCTATGAAGCTCTTTTTCACAGATAAACATAAACTATTTGTATTTTACCAGTCAAGGTCCACTGAGCTATGTAGCTCTTTTTCAGAAGTGACCTGGCCACAAATGATGGGTCAACAAAGCGGCTGATGTCACGTGGAAATTTATAGCAGCCAAATACTCTTAAACGCACGTTTCTAAATGTGGAAGGAAAAACTGGAGGACCTGGAGAAAAATCCACGCGACCACGGAGAGAGAGACATGCAAACTCCAAATTTTCCAGTAGGCGTCACGATTTGGATCGAACCCACGACCTCCTGTATACCAGGCGAGGTAGTTAACATCTCTCCACCATGGCTTCCGAGTAGGGGTGGGTCAGAAAGGTACAGCAACAAACAATACAGCAACAAACAATACAAAAACAAACAATACAAAACAAATACAAAAACCAAATAATAGAAAAACCAAATAATAGAAAAACAAACAATACAAAAACCCTGATTGGAGTGCAAATTATAGGAAAGCCAAGCAAGTTGCTAAATATGAATACAAATGAATAAAATATATTAATTGTATTTGTGCTGTTTGCCTTTAGGCGTCCTCTGTCGGCAGTGGCAGAACATGCTTGTCAACAAGGACACTCAGTTGATTTTGATAACGTTGAAGTGTTGTGTAAAACCAATTATTACTGGTAAAGACTAATTAGAGAATTCTTGAAATTGAGAGAAATAGAAATAACTTTAATCGCTCTGACAGCTACAGGCTTAGTGCGGCTTGGAAGCGTATTATTAAATAATACATATTACAATTCCTTATAGGGGAAACACATACTAATTAACGGATTACTAACATAGCATATAATCACAATAACACACATTACAACTAATTACTAATATACAACTCATTACTAATCATAACCATTGACTGATTACCAATCGATTATATAATTACAATACCCCTCCACCTCAAATCACTGCACCTGAATGAGTTAAATGATGACGTCACCCTGCTGCTCTATTTAAGACCGGGAGCAAGTGAGGGCTTTACCATTCTGGCGAATTGCCCGATGATGCTGGATGTAATTACCAGCGAAACGTCTTACTCAAATTTTAAATGATGTTGATTCACTCTTCAAACACACCGGTGGGCTAAAGTAGTGAACTATTTGTCCTTTGTAAACGTGACACATTTTTTATTGTTTGGCCGTGTCGGGTGGTGGAGAGTTACGACACATTTATAAATAACGCGATCTAACCCAAAAACCTTTATTATGAACAAAAGGATTTTGTTTGGTGTTTTCACATCTTAACACAACTGTTTTATTGCCAGAAAGGGTAAAACCTATTATATTTTGATACTGGCAAGAAAGGTCCCATATAAAAATAAATAGTTAATAGTTTTAAATAGTTAATAGTTTTCTTTCGCACCGTACGTAGCCAACGGGGCTAAGTGGGGATGTGCTGTTCACACCAAGCTTGCTGTGAACAGTGCTGCCCGGATGCTGTTCACATACCGGTATAATCTTCGCCCCATGTCTGTTTCGTGTCTCTGTAACTTCATCGCCGTTTAGGTGTGATCGGTCTAAATTATTTTCCCGAGCTAACTTAACCTTACGGGGAATTTCTTATTTAAAATTGACTTATTTTCCCGCGGTATTTTCAATTTGCTCGTATCGACAGTTGTGTTGGCTCCGATTTATATTTTATTTAGTGCCGAATTCGATTTAATTCACTCGGCTTTTATCATTTTGGGGAACCAGGTCACGCTTGGAGAATAAGACTCATCCCGGTCTCTTTACTTCTCCCACCGGGGTAAACAAAATCAACTCGAAAACTGGAAACTCGCCCCCCCTCCCAGGTGCTGCAGGACCAGGTGGATCAGGTGAGCTTCTACGTGAGCGTCCCCGCCGCGCTGCCCAAGCTCGTGCCGCTCAGGAACGTTCTCCGCAACAACTTCCCCAAGGCCAGGAACGGTGCGTCCACGGTGAAGCGTCCATGGTGAAATGTCCGCGGTGAAACCCGCGCGGTGAAACCCACGCGGTGAAGTGTCCGTGTGAAGCGTCCGTGGTGAACGTCCATGGTGAAGCGTCCGCGGTGAAGCGTCCGTGGTGAAATGTCCGCCGTGAAACCCGCGCGGTGAAGCATCCGTGGTGAAGCGTCCGCGGTGAAATATCCGCGGTGAAGCGTCTGGTGTAGCGTCCGTGGTGAAGCGTCTGTGGCGAAATGTCCGTGGTAAAGCGTCCGTGGTGAAGCGTCCGCGGTGCAGCGTCTGTGGTGAAGCGTCCGTGGTGAAATGTCCGCGGTGAAATGTCCGTGGTGAAGCGTCCGTGGTGAAATGTCCATGGTGAAACCCGCATGGTGAAGCGTCCGTGGTGAAGCGTTGACATCGTTCCATCAGTCAGGTGAACTTTCCTTTTTTCAAGCAGCTGTCTTAAAACCAAGGCCCCTGTACATGAATTATTCTCTTCCATGAAAACTTTTAACACCATGCAGCTAAAGTAGTAAGTCGATTCAGGCTTTCCTTTGTGAATGCCAGACTAAAGAGGTAACGTTTTACAACTCTGCATGGCCAGGCCAGTCCCTTGTCCGACGGGGAAGGGAATTCCACAGGATGGGAGCCGCATAATGCAAAGGCGCAGGCCCCAGATTGGTTGTCGTCACACCCTGGGGACGTCGCAGAGTGAAGCGGTCACGAGGGGGCAGTCGGGGGGGGTCCCTGGTCCTCCAATAAGACAAAGACCCCCGTATAGCCTGAACAGACTGTTGGGGCAAGTGCTGCTTGCAAGTAGCACCTCTGAAGGCCGGCACAGCACACGAGGGGATTGGGTGGCCAGCACCACGCCCGCCCGGCCTCCTTTGTCTCCCTAGTGGCGATGCTGACACATCGCATCAGGTACTCATTTGAGTCGACCTAGGGAAGGCCCCAGGACCGGTTCAGATAATCGTCACTGGTGTTCGCCGCGAGCGGCAATCAAACTCGTGTCCCCGGGTTCGTAGCGGACTATGCTAACCGCTGCACCACCGCTCTCCTGGTCCTACAAGGGCTTTATAGGTCAGGTAACCGACCTTGAAGTTGATGCGCCATCGCGCTGGCAACCAGTGGAGTCCTCGCAGCCACAGGAGCTATAGGACCGGTCCTGAATGTACCGGTAACTATCGTGGCAGTCTGGCCGGGTAGTACCACTCACGTCACAATCGGAAGATTGCGGGTTCAAATTCCCGTGTATTTGAATACGTTTCCATTATCGTAATCATGATCCTCGTATCAGCATTCGTAATGCATTGACGAATCTGTTTTGTATCCTCCTGCCTTCATCTCGAGAATCTAAAACCAACGATGGCTCCCTCTGTATCCAGCCATGGTGGTGGTGGTGTGTATACCTTTTAGACAGGGAGAGAGAACCATTCACTTAACAGGAGGCCCGAAGAAGCCGTGCAACGCATCAACAAACGCACACCTTCGACATAGACGCCGCTGTCGCCAGGCCGAATACGTTCCCCCCTCAAGTACGCGATCAGTGCGGCCAAGATGCTCACGGTGACGGGCGAATGTGCTTATTTTTTGCCGGCCGTTGCGAAGTGGCAGGCCTCGTGCCGCGACGGCCGCGCCGAGCGAAGGGTCGCGAGCCGCGGGGTTCCCCACGCCGCTTCGGCATCGTCGGCGCGCCCAGCGCGGTTCCGGCGTCGGTGCCTCGTCGCTACGTTCCCCGGCTCACGGTGTCCGCCCTCCCCCAACCCGTGCAGGCTCCGTGGGGGCGGACATCCCCAAGATGCTGGAGTACTTCACCACGTGCCACGAGTACAGCGTGCTGCCCAACGGCAGCTGCGTCACGCGCATCGGCACGGTAAATCAATAACGGCAACATCGGCACTGGAAACAATATCAGCATCGGTACGGTCAACAACAATAATAACATCAGCACGGTAAACAATAAAAACAACAGCACGGTAAACAACATCAGCACGGTAAACAACAGTAACAACATCGGCACAGTAAACAATAACATCAGCACGGTAAACAACAACAACAACATCGGCACTGTAAACAACAATAAAAACATCGGCACGGCAAAGAACAATAGCAACATCGGCACAGGTAAACAATGTGATTCAATTTGCGTAGTAAATGCAATCACGTCTCCGGTCGATTTCATCGTCAGCAACAGCGCGAGTAGCAGCCGTGGTCAATCCACGGCTGCATGAAGGCCTCCCCAAAGCCACGGCCGTCGCTTCTCACGATCTTGCACCCCCTGCCGATGCCATGGGGTTGGTCCAGAGCTGGGGGCCGTGGTCTAGGTGTGTCGGTCATGGGGGGGGCGGGGTGGGAGGGATTTGACCATACTTCACCGCGCTGGTCATTACCGGGCGTTGATAAAAGCGAGGTCGATTTGTCTCGCCCGTCTTTCCGAGTACCAGCCGAGCTCCCGAGGTCGACGCGGCCCCCCTCCAGCCTCGTCACCGTGGCACTGCAGTTGCATCTCCACCAAAGACGATCGATGGCAATAATAATAATAATAAAGGCACGGCAATACCCCGGGATGCCAAGTAGATGCGTTCCTGGAGCTTCGTTCGTATATCGAAACTTCGTACCTTGAATAACTTAGAACATTAGTACTAGGAGGATGCGTTCCCAGTCTTCGTAACTTACCATTTCATACTTTAAACACGTCATAGCTTACCTTTAATGTGTTAAACGAAGACAATTTATTTTGGCAAGCACTTGCCCCCAGCCACTTGCGCAGGCTACGTGGGGGACCTTTGTCTTCGCCCGCACTTAGCCCCCGCGTCCCTCTCTGTCGCTCCCCCCCCCCCCCCACCCCGCAGATGGACATGACGGACGAGCAGCTGCTGGTGAACCTGGAGACGCTGCTCGCCGACGTGTGCTCGCGCCGCACGGCCAGCTCTGGTACGACGCTGGGTCCCCGCTCGTGCACAGAGAGGCCTGTAGACTCGCACGGAGACCCATAGGTTTAGAGGCCTGTAGACTTACACGGAGACCCATAGGTTTGCAGAGGCCTGTAGACTTACATGGAGACCCATATGTGCACAGAGAGGCCCGTAAGGCTCATACGGAGACCCATAGGTTCACAGAGGCCGGTAGACTCGCACGGAGATCCATAAACTTGTAAAAAAGACATTCTTTTGTATGGTGTTTGAAAAAAGCAGCAGGCTACAATTGTATTGTTAATGTTGTGGGCCATTCCACAGCATCCAGGGTGGTAGCTGAGTGGAGTCCACTTGCTTCACCAGATTGCGGGTGTTGTATCGGGGCAGTCGTGATAAGCGCCTGGTCGTTTGCACCTCACCGCATCGGTGGAGTTCCCTGATCGTTCCATCACGTGTCATCGTCGCTGTTGGGACGCGGTTGGGAGCGGTCCCCCACTCACTGGCGGAGCCAGTGGGGGGGGGTGGGATAGCACGTGCCACACCAATGATGCGATCGAAATCCCTAATTTCGATCGGATAATTGGGGTTTATTAGTAATAAATCGGCATTTTGCGACCCTCACTGCCACTGTGTAGCATATTATTATGTGCCAGGGATTCTGTGAGATGATAGGACAATAGTCTGAGTCCATAATTGGCAATAAGTAACGGCAAAGCAGTTATAAGTGACTCAGAATTGTGCGCAGTTGCGTATACAGAGTCCACGACTTCCCTGAAGGCATCAACACCTTCAGCGAGCGCGATGCCGATCACACAACGCGGTTCAAATTCGACCCTCGATCGACGGCTGCCATCGCCGCACACGCGGCGAGTAACAAGCAAGGGACAAGTCCTTACTTACTAACAACTCCTTACTTACTAACAACTCCTTACTTACTAACAACTCCTTACTTACTAACAACTTACTTACTAACTCCTTACTTACTAACAACTCCTTACTTACTAACAACTCCTTACTTACTAACAACTCCTTACTTACTAACAACTCCTTACTTACTAACAACTTACTTACTAACTCCTTACTTACTAACAACTCCTTACTTACTAACAACTCCTTACTTACTAACAACTCCTTACTTACTAACACGTCCTTACTTACTAACAACTCCTTACTTACTAACAACTCCTTACTTACTAACACGTCCTTACTTACTAACTCCTTACTAACAACTCCTTACTAACTCCTTACTAACAAGTCCTTACTAGCACGTCCTTACTAACACATCCTTACTTACTAACTCCTTACTTACTAATAAGTCCTTACTTACTAGCACGTCCTTACACGTCCTTACTTACTAACTCCTTACTTACTAACAACTCCTCTATCATTTCTCATTGCTGGAGGAGTTGTCCCCCCCACCTGAAAATCCTGGCTCCGCCATCGCCCCCACTGTCGTCGGGGCTGCAGAGAGAACCCGCGGCCGCTCCTTCGTGGGGTCTTCACTCGCTGACCTCTCTCTAAAATGCACCCAGCTCTTCCCGTGCGGCGTCTTGAGACGGCGGCCGCGTTTGGGCCGCCGCTGCGTGGCTCCGCGTTTGTTTTCCCCGCGAGCCGTACCCACCGAGGACTCCCGGCTGCGCGCGCGTCTCTCGCGAGCAGGCGGCTTCGTGACGGACGCCCACATCAACACGGCCACCAGCGAGGAGCTGCCCTTCCACTTCGAGCCGTTCCTGCCGCCGCCGCCCAAAGCCAAGAGAGAGGCCAAGGAGCGGGCGCCGGCGGCGTCGGCGGCGTCAGCGGCGTCGGCGGCTCCGGCGGCGTCGGCGGCGCCGGCAGAGGAGGCCGCCGCCAACGCCAAGGAGTGACGCGGAGCGGCGTCCGCTTCCCGGGCTCCTGCAGCTGCTCGTCCACACCGGGCCAACCGAGTTGACGGCTCTCGTGTCGCTCACGGCATCACAACAATCCACACGTGCACACGCTCGCGTGCACACGCTCGCGTGCACACGCTCGCGCGCACACGCTCGCGCGCACACGCCCGCGTGCACACGCTCGCGTGCACACGCCCGCGTGCACACGCGCCCCTTCCCGTGATTCGGTGGACCATCGCGGCCCGGCGTCACAGTTCCGCGGAGGGTTTCCGTGACCCTGCGGGAGCGTGTAGATCCCTTTAGTGACTCTGTGGCTTCCAATAACCAATCACACCGCCGTCGTCATCATCCTGTGTCTACTGCTGGATGAAGGTCTGCTCAGACCATCGCCATCGCTTGCGGCCTCGCGATGCCACAATTCATTTAGCTTCTGTGCACTCGTGATAACCTCAACAATTATTTTTTACCAGGTAAGGCCCACGCTTCGTTCGTTCGCCTTGCGTCGTTAACGCTCCGCTTGCGTTCACGTTCATTGTCAAGGGCAACGGAATTATATATTTGTCTCACGTGTAAAATCATCAACCTAGCACAAGGGGGCGCCACGGTGGCGAGACGTGAACGACCACGCCTGCTATTAGAGGTTGTGGGTTCGATTACAACCCTGACGCCTGCTGCTGTAGATTTGGAGTTTGAGTGACCTCTCTCTCTCTCCCCGTGGCCGCGTGGATTTTTCTCCGGGTCCTCCGGGTTTTCCCTCCACATGCAGAATTCACATGACCAGTTTAGAGTGTTTGGCTACAATAAATGCCCACGTGATAAGCCACTTCATTGAGCGTGTTGTTTGTGGCCGGGGAGCTTCTGAAAAATAGCTATATAGCTCAGTGGGCCTTACCTGGGGAAATAAAAAAAAATAGTTTATATTTTGATTTAAAGCTTTCGTGACTGCAGGGATTCCTATTCTTTCGGTAAAGTCACGTAGAAGGGAAAACAAATAATAAAAAATTTATTTTATATTTTTATTATTTTGTTTCCCTTCTACGTGACTTTACCGAAAGAACCAAGACTATAAATAGTTTATAGTTTACAATTCGGTTGAGGGGTTTAAACGAACGTTGCTTTTGAACGAATATTGACAATGTGTCTCGCTTGCACACTCAGGCCGTGAGGGATGGCAGTGATGTGGGGAGGGTGGGGGGGTGCAACAGTGGATAGATCATGGCTGTTGATGATGACCAATCCACAAATCTCTCACACGCAACCCCCACAGAACTGGCCAACCCCCCTCCCCTCCAAGTCCCGTGAGTGTGATTAAATCACAAGAAGCCTATCCCCCGGCCACTGCTATCTCGTACGAGATGTCCGTAGGCCCAAACATCGCACCTCCATCCTGGCTTTGACATCGCTGCCGCAAATCCACCGGTGGAACCATCGACTACGTCGGAGTATCGTCATGCAGGCCGATGCGACACATCTTCGTGAATGGACAATTGAAGGCAAGCCAGAGTTGTGCGATTGTGACCCATTAGAGACATTAATGACCAACCACAGGAGTGCAACTGTGGCCATGCAAGCCAAGCTATGAACCCAAATTGTAAACCCAGTGGAGTCTGCGCTGCTTCAACAGAGGGGGAGGAACAGCCAAACGACACGAACTCTCCAGAAGCCCTCTCGTCGTGGCCAGCAGCAGCAGACCTCGACAATTGGCGTCTAGCTCCTGGGCATCGTGAACTGCTGCTGCAATCGCGCGTGAGAACAGAAGAGAATCAGAATGTGTTGAGACTGCAGCAGGAATCCGATGAGTTACACAGCTCATTTTCACAGATGTCCAGTAGGGGCGGGCCAGAAAGTTACAACAAACAACACAAAACACGATAGGGGTGCGACGTACAGTAAAGGTAAACAAATCACTTTAAAAAATGCAAATATTACAACTACGTTTACCTTGCCAGGTAAAGCCTAGAGCTATGTAGATTATTTTTCAGAAGCGACCTGGCCACAAACAATAGCTCAACGAGGCGGCTTACCACGTGGAAATTTACAGCAGCAAAAATAATCGAATCCGCAGTGCGAGGCTCTTACTCCGTCTCGCATTGGAATCATCGCAAAGGATCGCATCTGAGAGGGCGTCCATCGCGGAGATGGAACGGCTGTTAAATTGGCGATGCCAGGTCAGGGGTCGGTAGCGACCGTTCAGAGAAGAAGAATATTGAGACATTTTTGGGGCTTTTGTCTTTGGCCAAAATAGTTCGAGAGCCACATCCACACCCAGAGCTACGTGCACACAAACGCAGCAGCCGGTATATAGCAGATGACAACACACATTCTGACTTAAATAAACAACAGGCTATGGAATAAACTGTGTATTTAGTTCCCCCCCTTTGTTATTCCTAAACAATACAGTTTGTTGTATATTTTGTTGTCACCGAGACATTCCATAGTGACCCACTCACTGCCACAAATTATCTCTACGTTAAACTTTAAGGTGTAAGTTTTTCTTACCGGCTGCCCGCAAGGGGACAGCCAAAGAGCCACAGGTTGCCGGCCCCTGTGTGAGGTGGATCGTTGCATCGCAGGCCCATGAGTCGTGGCCTGCGGGCCTTGGGGAGGCCTTCATCCAGCGGTGGATTTATCACGACCGACTGCACATGATCAATGATATCCTGTGATTGGATACAAGAAGGACTCGATCTCAAGATGGCTTTGTCCTGGAATAATATATCCGCACCCGGCACACCGCATCCAGTATTCCGCTGGGCGACGACTATGGTTACCTGTCACGTGCCACCAACTTCAGCTGTTTACTTGAGAAACATTCCCTGCAAGATTTTGAGACCTGGATAGGTGTGTGATGCATCGATATTGAACCTGAGTGCCGCATGATGACATTCAACGAGTGTCCTCTTGTCCACAGTTGTACGGCAGTCACCCAACCTCCCTCCGTATTCCTGCACCACATTGCAGACTACCAACTCACTCGACACGTGGTTGGTGGCTGGAGATGAGATACGGTCCGAGATGTGACGATATGTGATTGGTGGCTGAGAATGAGGTGACGGCAATGGAGGGGAGGGCAGTGGAGTAGTTCACGACATGAGCTCAGGGAGTGTGGCAATCGATCAGGTAAGGCCCCAATATTTGATTTGTCTCGCACGGGCGCACCCAGGCGATCACGGCTCCTCTTGCCTCATCACACCATTAAGCATTTTCAGAAACGTAACTTTAAACCGCGTTTTAAATACGTTTTTGTGCTTTAACACCGTTATTGTCAAGTGCGCCACATCTCGTAGCTTTGGCCACCAGGGGAGGGGGGAGGCACCCCCTGCCTGCCCCCAGGCTTGTTACGTTGCTGGGGGAGGGAATGGGGGAGGGGACTGTGGGGATAGGGCACGTTGGGGGAGGGACGAAAGGAGAGAGCGGTGGATGAAGGAGGCAGCTGTGGATGGTGGAGGGAGCTGTGGATGAAGGAGGGAGCTGTGGATGGAGCTGTGGATGGTGGAGGGAGCTGTGGATGAAAGGGAGCGGTGGATGAAGGAGGGAGCTGTGGATGAAGGAGAGAGCTGTGGATGAAGGAGGGAGCTGTGGATGGTGCAGGGAGCTGTGGATGGAGGGAGCTGTGGATGGTGGAGGGAGCTGTGGATGAAAGAGGGAGCAGTGGATGAAGGAGGGGGCGGTGGATGGAGGAGAGAGTGGTGGATGAAGGAGGGAGCTGTGGATGAAGGAGGGAGCAGTGGATGGTGGAGGGAGCTGTGGATGGTGGAGGGAGCTGTGGATGAAAGAGGGAGATGTGGATGGTGCAGGGAGCTGTGGATGAAGGAGGGAGCAGTGGATGGTGGAGGGAGCTGTGGATGGTGGAGGGAGCTGTGGATGAAAGAGGGAGCGGTAGATGAAGGAGGGAGCGGTGGATGGAGGAGGGAGCTGTGGATGAAAGAGAGAGCGGTGGATGAAGGAGGGAGATGTGGATGGTGCAGAGAGCTGTGGATGAAAGAGGGAGCGGTGGATGAAGGAGGGAGATGTGGATGGTGCAGGGAGTGGTGGATGAAGGAGGGAGCGGTGGATGGAGGAGGGAGCTGTGGATGAAGAAGGGAGCTGTGGATGGTGAAGGGAACTGTGGATGAAGGAGGGAGCTGTGGATGAAGGAGGGAGCTGTGGATGGTGAAGGGAGCTGTGGATGAAGGAGGGAGCTGTGGATGAAGGAGGGAGCTGTGGATGGAGGAGGGAGGTGTGGATGGTGGAGGGAGCTGTGGATGAAGGAGAGAGCTGTGGATGAAGGAGGGAGCTGTGGATGAAGGAGGGAGCTGTGGATGGAGCTGTGAATGGTGGAGGGAGCTGTGGATGAAGGAGAGAGCTGTGGATGAAAGAGGGAGCGGTGGATGAAGGAGGGAGATGTGGATGGTGCAGAGAGCTGTGGATGAAAGAGGGAGCAGTGGATGAAGGAGGGAGATGTGGATGGTGCAGGGAGTGGTGGATGAAGGAGGGAGCGGTGGATGGAGGAGGGAGCTATGGATGAAGGAGGGAGCTGTGGATGGTGGAGGGAGCTGTGGATGAAAGAGGGAGCGGTGGATGAAGGAGGGAGATGTGGATGGTGCAGGGAGCGGTGGAGGAAGGAGGGAGCGGTGGATGGAGGAGGGAGCTGTGGATGAAGGATGGAGTGGTGGATGAAGGAGGGAGTGGTGGATGGAGGAGGGAGCTGTGGATGAAGGAGGGAGCTGTGAATGGTGAAGGGAGCTGTGCATGAAGGAGAGAGCTGTGGATGAAGGAGGGAGATGTGGATGGTGCAGGGAGCTGTGGATGAAGGAGGGAGCTGTAGATGATGAAGGGAGCTGTGGATGAAGGAGGGAGCAGTGGATGAAAGGGAGCTGTGGATGAAGGAGGGAGCTGTGGATGAAGGAGGGAGTGGTGGATAGAGGAGGGAGCTGTGGATGAAGAAGGGAGCTGTGGATGGTGAAGGGAACTGTGGATGAAGGAGGGAGCTGTGGATGAAGGAGGGAGCTGTGGATGGTGAAGGGAGCTGTGGATGAAGGAGGGAGCTGTGGATGAAGGAGGGAGCTGTGGATGGTGGAGGGAGCTGTGGATGGTGGAGGGAGCTGTGGATGAAGGAGGGAGCTGTGGATGGTGGAGGGAGCTGTGGATGGAGGCAAAATAAACGAACTAGCATCCTGACATGTCTCCTGCCCGCTACAGATCAGCAAGCTGCACATAAGTGGACTAAAGTGTGGGTACACCCACCCCTTTCCACACCTTCTGGTCCAATGTGGAAGAGTACAGCCACAGGGGTTTCTTCCCCTCTAAATCAGGGGAAGGCAAACCTGCAGCTCCAGAGCCGCATACGGCTCTTTTATGGACTGCTTCGTGACGTTATTTATTACGGACCGTCTCGTGTTCACATTCATTGCGGCTCTTGAAATATTCTGTTTTTTTTTACGCATTTGAAAAAAATGGATCCTCTTGTTATTTTGGCTGCCGGCCCCTGATCCAGTCTCGAGCTCCCATGAGCAGAAGCTCCTCCTACCCGCAGGGGTGCGTTCAAGCACTTGCAGGGCTGTGCCTACGCATTTTTTTAAACCAAACACCATCACTTAGGGCCTAACAAGACGTCCTGCACATTGCGGACCTCCGGCGAGTTTTATGACCACCATTTGTATGGATAAAGTCAATAGGACACAGGGATCACCAACGACCTCCCCTGGTATACAGGTCGTAGGTTCGATCCCGACCCTGATGCTTGTATATTTGGAGTTTGCGCGTTTCTCCCTGTGGTAATGTAGATTTTTCTCCGAATCCTCTGGTTTTTCCCTCCACATTTAGAAACATGCGTTTTAGAGTATTTGGCTGCTATAAAGTTCCACGTGATGAGCCACTTACTGGGTTGAGCTGTCATTTGTGTCCAGGTCGCTTCTGAAAAAGAGCTATACAGCTCAATGGGCCTTACCTGGTAAAATAAAAATCTTTTAAATATTTGTGAGGTCACATTACTAGTACTGTCACGAGAAGTCACGCAACAAGGCCTTTTGGGCTCACGCGCTGAGCCTTCAACGATGCGACTTCAACCCTGATGATGATGAAGCTTGAGAAGCCGAATTGAGTTCACAAGGAGTTACAAACTTCCCGTGAAAGAATCCCGACATCTGTTAATCGCTGGCTTCGATCTCCCGCCACGAAGGTCATGGGACCACGACCCCCGAACCGTATTCAGAGCAACGTGTTCGCAATGCGACTTAAAACTTCATCAGCCTCTCTGCCCTCGCTCAACTTGGTTTGGATTTTGTCATTCTGGTGACCAAAGTCACTTGTGAAAATGAAACGCGTGTCCGTTCTCACCTGGTTAGACAAAATAAAACCTGAACTCTGAAAGGACAAACGTTAAAGTCAAATTTCTACCTCTGTTATAAGCCAGAGTTAATGACGTGATTCTCAGAATCTTTATGCAGACTGGAGGAATCCGACCAGCTATGAAGATCTTTTACAGTCCGAGAGTTTGTGATACCCACATACGAATTGAATCAGTTTTTATATCCTCTGGTAGTGCCAGGCCCCAAGCCAGTACCCGTATTGCACATTCCACATTCATATGGTGGGGACCAGTCTCAAAATTGAGCAACTCCACATCACACCTACAAGAGCCAGGCACCATCGGGTGTAGTGGTGGCACAGTTGTTGGCGCATTGCACTTCATGGGCCCGATTCCCAGGCCCATGGGCCAACATGTTTGGCAATGAATAATCGAAGGTCTCACAAAAGTATATTTCTGGTTGAATGTCACTATCCAACACCCCCCCTCCCCCCCAATTTGCTGGAAATCTAATTCGTAACACGGCACTCTGGGATTTAAGACGGTATCGTTGCATTCTGACGAGCAGGGCTCAATTCCAGGCAGGGGTTGAGAGCTCTGGAAAATATTCCCCTCATTCCCGCACGTCCCTGACAGGCGGCAGTGGGGGTTGGCGTGTCGGAATTTCAGCACAAAATATAAAGATATCAGATTTCGGGTGTGCGAGTCGCCTGGAAGTTGATAGATGTGCACGGCCGCTCGGGTAAGGTCGGTCATCTCGAAGGGGTCGGGCACGGTCAGGGAAAGATTGGTGTGCACCAGGCTCTCAAGTGATCTGTGATATGACCAGGGCAGGCCAGGGTGGCCCAGAGGTCGGAGCACCGAGCTAGCACCGCTTGGGTCATCCACGAGTTGAGCGAGTTCTCAAGGCAGTCGGTCGATGGCCTTAATATCGGCCCACAACAAGCACACGCAAAAGCCATCGCGTCAAAATTTATTTTCGCACGTAATTTGGTCAAAATCCAGCTCTGAAAATAAAAAAAATATCAAGTTAACCGTCATGCGAAAATGTCTTAACAATGAACATTGCAGTGTGTGGGGAAAGTGGTGCTGCCTCCTAGCGGGCGTGCATCAACGGTCACTTGATTTGTTCAACAGTAGTTCTGCTAGATATACTTTTGTGGGCTGTTCTCTAACACAGGGCGTGGGTGCTTCTCTGCGAGATGGATTATTCCTAGTGACATGACGACACCACGGGGCAATCATGATATCATTGGTGGGGAAAAAAACATGAACTTAAAAACCCAGCTGGACCTTATGGCCACAAAGTGCCCGTCACAAAGCCGCAACTCTCCTGCAACTCAAGAGATCTCTCCTGGTGAAACTAAACGTGAATCTAGCTTGCAAGTGGAATGCAATCGTTAACTACTAAACAAGATTTTTATTTCACCAGGTAAGCCCCACCGAGCTATTCAGTTCTCTTTTAGAAGCGACCTGGCCACAAATGAAAGCTCAACCAAGTGGCACATCGTGCGGGAATCTCCAGCAGCCAAATACTCTAAACGCGTGTTTCTAAACGTGGGGGGAAACCCCTGGGGGGAAACCCCTGAAGATGCGGAGCAAAAGCCACACGGCCAGGGGAACATGTAAACTCCAAAAACACAGGCGTCCTGTATACAGGCGAGGTAGTGAATCATCTCACCACCATGGTGAATAGGACACAGTCTGCCCAGGGACAACTCAAATGACACAACACACACACCAAGATTTGCAACATAACCTTTAATAAAAGGCATCATAAAACTGCTTTACGTGTTTTCTGGATGGGAGTTGTACAGCGAGTACCACTCGGGGAGGAGGTGGGCGCGCGTGTGCGTGTGTTTTGTGCTCGACTGTACACCTTCATCGCCTTGTCACCGTCGGTGTCTGGGATAAATCGATGTTTTTTTTAATTCTCGTTTTATTTTTATTTTTTTTATGAACAGTCAAACATTTTCTTTCCAAACACAAAAAAACTGGACGACTTCCGTAAACAAAAAATAAAATAAATAACCAAATAAAAAATATAGACGTAAAAGAGGGTGGGGTGGGGGGGGGAAAACACTTTGCATTCAGATAAAAAAAAGTGAAATCTTTCCAATATACAGCTGTGAACTTCAAACGACGATTCAGTCCAAGCAGCTTCGTTACAAAGATCCTTTCACGAGAAATACCAAAAATATGCAGTTAACCTGCTCTCTTTTAAGCCTCTAAAATAATACAACAGCGTGGGAGATATAGCTATAGTATGTACACGTATGGGTTACGTCTATTTACAGGAGTGATTCGTCTGTAAATAGTTTATTTAGTGAGTTTTACAAAAGGTAGTTTTTTTTTCAGGTGACCTTAGCAAGAAACAGTATAAAGGAAGGTTGATTAACCGCGTGATTCCATAAAGTACTGATAAAAAGTTATATCTAGTTTAATAGACATGCTATTGTACATTTCTTTAAACTTTCAAATTTTTTTACATTATTTTTGTACGTTAAATATAATATGATACTAACAGTAATAATATTAATGCCAGCACCAAATCTTAGGTTTTCGGATCAAATGCCATTACCCGCATGCACTACACCTCAACCTCGCTCGCAAACGATACTTTGTGTTGCATACAAACGTAGAAACATTCGTGCACGACAGATGCAGCCGTTAAAGACTAGAGAGACCTGCAGTGAAACCACGCTTTCTGTGCAATGCAATGCCCCATTGAAGGTGTAAGTACGCGCGTGCGTTATATTTACACGCCTATTAGTGTAGTGCAAGGTGACGATTAATTCATTTCATTTACAGTATTATCTCTTATTATTATTGTTGTTGTTTCTGTTGTTGCTGCTGCAGTCATCTGCTCGTTTAAAAGGGAGGGTTGGGGAGGAGTTTTCTTGCGTGCGGGTTGCCATGCGTAAAATGCTTCGGTCTTTTAGAAGGCATTCAGGAACCGGGGGCGGCTTGGGGCAAGGGAGTAAGTGGGCGAAGGGAACAACAGGCATCATCACCGCGGCGGCCACTCGGAGCGGCGAACTGGACTCTCGGCGACAGCGGACACACGAGAGGGGGGAGCTTCGCAAGGGTCACGCGTTTGGAGGTGACGGGGGACGAAAGTGAGGCTGACGACGATGGCTACTTATGTGGCAAAACGGGAAAAAAATAACAACAGCGACCCTTACCACCATGTTGGAATGCCACCGGGATTGAACCAGCCTATCCCGATTTGGCGTTGTGATTCGACGTTGGGGGGTGGGGGGGGGCAGAGACGATGGTGGAAATCGCACGAGGAGTCCACACAACCGCGGTCCTAAGAATGGCGAAGGACACGCGTATATATTACGCGATGCTTCGGCGATGAACAGCGAATCACTTAACCGGGGGCCTTAAGCAACTCGCAGCCAACTGTATGTATATTGAAGGGAAGAACTCCATCTTATTGTTACATTTGGAAAATAATATTAAAGGGGCCATGGTGAGAAATGTTCACTTGTGGATAATGTCCTGGGATCTGTAGCGTCTCCATAGTGGTCACTGATATACACTTTGAGAAGTGCTTTGTCAATCCACTGCTAGATGAAGGCCTCCCCCACACCACGTCAGTCTTGGGGGCTGTTGTGCCATACTTCACCACGCTGGTCAGTGCAGGTTGGTGAATTGGGAGGCTCCGAAACAGTACAGGTATCACTTGCCACCGATGTTAGCCGTGGCACGGGAATCTAACTCGGTTCGCTGGGTTCGGTGCGCACAGGAATCAAACCGTCGACTTGCGATCTGGCTCAGTGGGCAGTGAGCGGAACTGCTAAGTGTACAAAGCCACGCCTAAGACTACAAAAGCCACGCTGTTCATTGTGATTACAACTTCTATCTTAAGAGAAAGAAAAAAAAATCGTAGAATAATTAAAACCCACTAATCAACGTGAAATGATTGGCGGTGAATGGTCTAGCAGCGATGGGGGGGCTGGAGCTGTGAATCCAGTTCACTGCTTTGTGGCGCTCTACGTCGGCATGCAAGCGTGCATCTCTGCGCAACCCCCACTCCCCGTTCTTCACGGCGACTGCAGCCCGGCCGGGGAGCAGCCGCCCCTCGGCGAGGGGGGTCGCGCGAGGGGGCGGCGGTGATGGTGGCGGGGCGGGAGCGGTCGGCGAGTGAGCAGCCGGGGTGGCGGTCGCCGCCGTTCGCTTGTCGCTGCTGCGCCTCCGCCGGCGCCTTAAATCACGAAGGACGGCTCCTCCACGGCAGCGGCGGCGGCCCCCACGGCGTCCTGCACGCTGCGCGCAGCCAACGCGGAACGGGAGGCAGCAGCAGGCGGCACCAGGGGTAGGGTTACTGGGGCGTCTGAATCACGGACGCGGAGGACTGTGGGAGAGGGCCAGGTAAATTAGGCCTCAAAGGGCCGACTGTGCCCGTGTTCCGTGGCTATGCAGGGGGAATACGCTAAATGTGATGAATAAGAGGACGTGTTTTTGAGCGTGCGTTTTTGAGCGCGCGTTTGCGAGCGGTGTGCTTCGTACCCGGCGAGTGTTTCGGCGGCGGGAGCCGAGGTGCGAGACCGGGCCCGCAGCGCCACGCTGTATGCCGGGCCCGAGTGTTGCTTGCGCCAACCGGGACTCGCTGGAACGGGGGCGGCACAGGTCGGCACGTTAAGGCGCAGCACGGCACCGGAAACCGCCGGTCACCTCCCGCACAGCGGAGCCTCCTTTACAAACAGCCGGGTCAACAGTATATGGGGCCCTGTCCTGAGGAGCACGAGAGGGATACTGAGACAAAGAACCCCCTCAGACAGCCTTAAGAGACTGTTGGGGCAAGTGCTGTTAGCGAGTAGCACGTCTGAAGGGCGGCACGGCACACGAAGGGGCGAGTGGTCAACGAAAGTGTGCCAGGCTAGGTGCACTATGAGGCTACGTGAAATGTGGAAGGCTGCCTGGCAGCTCACGGTGAGCAGGCCAAGACACACGGAGACACGATGAAACGGAGAGGGAGACGCATGGAGCGATGCACAAGGCGACATGGACAGAGGCAGACACGGAGGGAGATGGACGGACATTTCAGGAGCCCCTTAAAAAGTATAAAGCGCTGTGTTCGTGCGGTCGCTCAGTAGTTTACCCCTTTCCTGTCATCTAACATCCTAGGCACCCTCAATTGCACTCACAAACATATAGAGGCCAGGAGCTTCTTTTCATCGATCGCTCGACACCTTCAGCGCAAGAAGACCCATCATTGCCTTTTCCTTCAAAGACGCCTCAGGGCGGCGAGACCCACCGTCACCCTCGCCCCCTCCGGCGCGAGTGAGAGTGGCGCTGACCTGCGGAGGTGGGGGACGGATGCCGCGCCCCGTCCTGCGTCCCGGCCGTCCTACCGGACGCCCCCCGCGGTGCCGCGCCGTGTCCGGCCCGCAGGCTGGCGCGGTACAGCGACTCCAGGTCCGACACCTCGGCCTCCGCGCCGTCCCTCTCGTCCGCCCCCGCCGACTCCCGCCGCCGCCGCTGCTGCCGGTGCCACGGCAGCCACGGGGAGCCCTCGCTCGCCGCCGCGGCGGGGCCGAGCCGCCGGCTGTCGAGGCCGGGCTCCCCGGGCCGCTCGCACTGCGTGGCGGCGTCGGCCAGGGCTCCGCTACGGTGAGTCCGCCGTGCGTGCGCGCCGCCCTCGCAGCAGCAGCCGCCGCCACCGCCGCCGCCGCAGTCGACACTGCCAACGCTACTCTCGCGCGACGCCGCTTCCAAAGTCCTGCGCTCGCCATCACCGCCCATGCTCGGCTGCTGCTGCTGCGGCTGCTGCTGGCGCAGGAATCCCAGGCGCTGTAGCGGCAGCTGCGGGGAGACGGGGCCGCCCCAGCACGCGTCCTGGAACTGCTCGATGAGCGAGCGCACGCTGGGCACGGCCGCCTCCGTCAGGCTCCGCGGGCGCTCGCCCGGCGGCGGCCGCGACGCCAGCACGGGAAGGGCGGGAGGGAGGGGAGGGAGAGGAGACGGAGGGGGGGTCGGCGGCTCCTTCACGCAGACCCACGCGCCGCCGTCGCCGACGCCGCCGCGGCCGCGCTCCGCGCGCCACTGGCCCGGCAGGTTCTGCGGGCAGCCGACCAGGTAGTGCACCGACTCGTAGGACAGCCGCAGCGGCGCCCCGCGGGGGCCCGGCTTGGCTCTCCGCGGCGAGACGGGCGACTCCGCCGCGTCCGACCCGCGCGCCCCCGCGCCGAAGTCCGCGGGTCGCGGCGCCCCCGCTAACGGGAAGCGCCGCAGTGGCTCGTCGCCGGCGCCGCCCGCCGCCTCGGTCGCCGGGAGCGAGAAGGCGATGCGCCTCTGCCGCAGGTGGGCGCCGGCGTCGGCCCAGCGCGGCCGGTACACGCTCGACGCGCTAAGCGACAGGCGGCCGTCCGTCCGGAAGCCGCCCGGCGCCAGCTCCTTCGGCGCCTGCCGCCGGTTGGCGGTGAGGTCGCTTTTGGTCCGCGCCAGGGGCGGCCGCTCCCCTCCCTCTCCGCCGCCGCCGCACGGAGAGAGGCGATCGCCGGAGAGGCGGTCGCTCGACGAGGAGATCCTGGCGTAGGACGAGGACGAGGAGGAAGAGGAGGAGGAGGGAGGGAGCGGGTGGTGCTCGGCCGGGGGGCCGTAGAGGAGGTAGCGGGCGCCGTAGACGGCGCCCGCGCCCCGCGCGTGGCCGCACTCGTCGCAGGGCCCCGGCCCACACGTCTGCGTCGCTTGGGAGAGGCGGGCGGCGGCAGAGGCGGCAGAGGCGGCCCCGGCGCGCGACACGGGGGGGCCGTCCGTCACGGGGAGGGGGGGGCCACGCTGCGCTGCTACATCTGCACCTTGCGGCTGTAGCAGCGGATGATCCGCCATCCGGCTGTGGAGAGGGGCGGCACGGGGGGGGGGGGGGGGGGGGGAAGGCAGTGCGTGCGGCAGCTCGGTTAACAGATTTCTATTTTCTCCGGTGGTTGAATAAGCGAGGGGTGTTGATTGGCTATCAATCGCTGGGGAGAATGGACATGACGCACGGGAAGTAAGGGGTTTGCGAGCCGCCTTGGGGCGCGGCGTTGAGCATCTCTTCTCTCGAGCCTTTCGCGAGCGCACACTCCTGCGGGCACCTTTGTCCTCGGGAGTTGCCCAGCAGGAGAAGTGCGTGGAAAAAGGTTCGAGACGAGACAGACTCAACGCGCCGCACAGATCCCGTTCCGAAGGTGTGTTCAGAATAGAATCCGTAAGGAACTGAAATTGGGTTCAAGTGGAGGGTGGACCGGTGTCAGATGTGGTTACGCTCACGTCGTCTCTCTGGCTTCACCCTCGGCATGCCAACGTCAGGACGATGGGGGCATGCCCGTGACTTTACTGCCACGGCAAGTTCCCTTGCGCACAAACAAGTGACACCGGTAATTCCTCACGGGCACGAAATCAACGGCGGATTTCCTTCTGGCATCCGGCCAAAGGTGGCTCGGCGCTAGAGCGAGCGGCTCGCAAATCGCAAGGTCGCAAGTTCAAATTCCGGTTTTGGGTTTCACCCAGCTCATCATCCCTCTGGGGGGTCGATAAAATTTAGTACCACTCTGTGGAAGAGTTAACAACTGGTTGTTCTGTGGATAGGCTCATTCCCACCATAGGAATGTGGAATATCCACCACTGCCTCAGGGCTGCAGGCGAGAGCGGAGCACAACCTCAGTGTTGATTTGAGCAGGAAATCACTTTTCCTTCAGGCAATGGAATAGAAATGGTTAAGTTGTACAAGTGTACTTGAACAGCCCTTTGCCAATCCACTGCTGGATGAGGGCCTCTCCATATTGTGTGGGTCGTGGGGGTTTTATCCGACGTCTTTGTCCAACTTGTGGTAGAGAGCTTCATGCCGGCAAAGCAAGCAACTGGATACTCACATGTGATGGGAGATGGTGGATAGGTTGGACGGGTGAGAGGGTGGGTAGGTGGAAAGGGTAGATTGGTGAGCGGGTTGGTGGGCGGATTGGTAAGTGGATTTGTGGGTGGATTGATGTGGTGGTTGGTAGGTAGGTGTATGAGTGGATAGGTAGGTGGATGGGTAGGTGGATGGGTAGGTGGGTAGATGGGTAGGTGGTTGGATGGGTAGGTAGGTGGATGGGTAGGTAGGTGGATGGGTAGATGGGTAGGCAGGAAAAACCAGCAGGCGGAGGGGGGTACTACCTGGGGGCAGGGTGAGCGGGCCGGCCGTCTGGCCAGGAGAGGAGGGGGTCCCGCGCAGTGTCCATGGCGCGGCCCCGAGTGTTAGGAGCGGCGAGGGGGTGGTTAGCTGGCGCGGCACGGCCATGCGAGTTAGAACGAGCACGCACGTACACACGCGCTCGCGCACGTACACACGCGCGCACGCACGTACACACGCGCTCGCGCACGTACACACAAGAACATCCTCGTCGGCGTGGGTTAGAAGGCCGGTTTGGGGCACAAGCATTGGCGAGCGAGGAGCTGTTAATGCAGTTGGCACGGCACACAGGGGGCGGTGGGGACAGGGCTACGAACGCCCGGTCGCCTTTGTCTCCTCAGCGCTGGTGAGCTTACATTTTTTTTTAAGGCTGAGTGGATCAAGAGGAGGTCTGCGCTCATTGCGAATGGATGCGCGTGGTGTGAAATTGAATTCGAATTGGTGGGATAGTAACACGGGAATGTGCTGACCATTATGCCAACACTACAAAAAACCACACACACACATAAACAAAAGACAAAGACACACATAAAACACACCATCACAAACATACACACACACACTGCACAAAACACACACACACAAACATGGACACAAATCCTCTTTAGAGTCTTTAATATAAGTACAGTAAAACCTCGTTATTTCGGTATTTGACAATTCGCAATTGGGGATAGTTTAGCACGGCTGTGCTCTCGCTATGTATATGGTGTATTCGTAATTCGCCATGAGCCGATTTGCTATACCGAATGGTTCAATTTCGGCATGCACGTTGAGCAACGTGCGCACCATGACCAAAACAACGATCAATCTGGTGACGGCGGCGGCAGTGCGCGTGGCGAGTGTTAGTGCAGACCTTGTCGCTTTGGACTTCACCTTGTTTGTGCACTCTGTGCAAGCCAACCCTCTCAGAATTGTCGTCTACACCTACATCAAGAATTAATAGAAAGGGACTGAAGCATGAAGCCCTTAGTCTGCGAGACAAATCGAAGGTTGTGGATAGAATCGATGCAGGTGTGTCAATGCGAATGGTGCATGTAAGAGTTTGGAAAACAAATTTAGATTTTTTTGTTAATTGGGGCAGGAGGTACTGAGGAGTACACCATTTTCTTTGGTTCTTTCGGTAAAGTCACGTAGAATGAGAATAAAATAATACATTAATGAAATAAAATAACACAATAAAATTCTCACGACGTTTCGGCCACAACACAAGCGGCCTTCATCAGGTGAAGGGACGAGACTGTCTGGAGGACAGCGCTGTCGTGAGAATTTTATTGTGTTATTTTATTTTATCAATTTATTATTGTATTCTCATTCTACGTGACTTTACCGAAAGAACCAAAGAAGATGAATCCTTGCAGTCACGAAAGCTTTAAATCGAAAGAGTACACCATTGTACATAATTCAGAACATTGGATAATTTGCAAACGCCAGAGCCCCATATGTATCAAATTAACAAGGGTTTACTGTATCTATGTTGAACTTCTTTTGCGCCGTACGTAGCCAACCGTGCTAATCGGAGGTGCGGTAAAAATCGGAGCCTGTTGGGGCAAGTGGTGATACACACGTGCATCTCCAGATTATTGCACCCACCTTCTCAATAATACTAGACCATAGCACTCGCGTGAAAGCTGGTATTTGTAGGTCGTAACCGGCATGGATTTCTCCAGGATCTCCAGGATCAATATTCTGATTCTGATTTCGAATGAATAAACCAGAACTTTGTACTTGCATTAAATCCGGTTTCCCATGATGTTCACCACCACCACTCTCCGCGTCGGAGCGTGTCGGTGACCACCACAGAGAGCTGACAACATACTAAACTAACAATTAAAACTCTTTTTTATTTTACAGGTAAGGCCCACTGAGTTCTCTATAGCTCTTTTTCAGAAGCGACCTAGCCACGAATGATAGCTCAACGAAGTGGCTTTCATGTGGAAATTTATGGCTGCCAAACACGAAACTCATGTTTCTAAATGTGCAGGGAAAAACTGAAGCGCCCGAAGAAAAGTCCACACGACCACGGGGAGAGAGACACGCAAACTCCAAATATACAGCAGGCGTCAGGGTTGGGATCGAACCAACGACCTCCTGTACACCAGGCGACGCAGTTGATATCTCAAGCTTTTGCTGCTGCAGATACAGCAGCTGGGTCACAACTGGTAAACGATTCGAATCGTCCCGTTTGTCCGAGGTAAAAAAAAATTGGCACCACTATACGCCAAGCCAACGTCGGTTGCGATGTCGAGAGACTTCTCCCCAACCACTGAAATGTGGAATTTCCACTGCTGGCTCGGGACTGCCAGCAGCAGTCAAGCCCTTCCCAAGGATGAAGGCCTCCCCCCCAGGCCGTGGACGTTATTTGACCGCACTTGACCGTACTATTCGGTGCGTGTTAGTGAAGGTGGGCAGCATAGAATCACAGCACAGCAATGCATTTTGCCGCACGGCTCTCCCCGCCATCCCAGAGCGTAGCCCTGCAGGAATACGGCTCGCCTTAAAGTCTGTTCAACCGCACCATGTTAGGAAGTTACAACGAACGAGGAGCCAACACGCCACGCCCACGATGCGGCCTACGTCGTGTAGCGCCAAACACAATTGTGCGGCGCGTTGCCGTGCCAGAGGCTCGACGGAAGCGGTCGTGCCGTTTGGCGACTCGCACGGCACGCACAAGGTAAGCTCCGTGCGTGGGACGGCGGGCGGCACAGCTGCTGCATCTGCCGGTCACCTCAGGCAGTCAAGCCACGGCACCTGGGTCCGTCCCATGGCCGCCTGCCAGCAAGCGAGAGCCTTCCGCACTCCCACGTGACGGCCTCAAAGTGCACCGAGCCTGGCACAAGCGCCGCGGTGACGTCGCCGCGACTTGTCGCATGGTATACTCACATGCAGGGTCCACGTACTGGTAGACAGTGATGCCAAGGCCTTCCGACGCTTCCAGCTGACCGGCCGCTTCGGTCGGACTGCCGCCTTCCTCCGCAGACTCCTCATGGCTGTCTGCTGGTATGCCTGACGAAAATTAACGATAAATAAACGTTGCCGTTCAATAAGATGCGTGTCGTTCATTGGCGCGTTAAACGCTTGTACGTGGGAAGATTTGTCTGCATATGTCGGGTGGCGGAGGGCATTGGCCAAATTTATTTGATCAGATCACTAATTTACGTGGGCTAACCCACAAATAAATTACGAATGGAGATCGTAAGGTGTTTGCACCGACAAAAGACATACTCAGGTTGTCAAGGTCCATGAATTTCGACGGCTTGGGGTTAAACGTCATTTCCGGAGCTGCGACGTCCTCCGCTGTCGATTTCCCATCATCCTTTGCGCCAATGGCAGCCCTCCGTATCTGAGACGTCGTCCACGGGACCGTGGGCGACTCTACCCACGGGGAGACACCAAACGACGACACAGCTGCCATGAGCGGCGGTCAACGTGCGACAACGATCGTCTCCACAGCCGGTAGGCGTTGCTGAACATCCCAAACAAGGCCGTTATCAAATTTCGTCCACTGGAACGATTGTGCGCACGAAGACACAGCTTCACCCCGCGTAGCCACACAGACATGCTGGGACAAGGGTTGTCAGCGAGCACCCGTTAAGGGTGGCAGCGTCACATTAAGGAGTGGCATCGTCAGCATCACCGCCCGGCTGTCCCTGCCCCCGAAGTGCTGATGCTATACACCATCATATCCTACACGAGCTCAGAATCATAATGTTTATTTATCCTGGAGAAATCAAATGAGCTATGAAGCTCTTTTTCACTGATGTCCAGTAGGAGCGGGTCAGAAAGTTACAATATAAATAAACGAGTGCCAAGTATAGGATGGGTAAACAAATGACTATAAATAAACAAAATACAACTAAACTATTTTGATTTCACCAGGTAAAGCCCACTCAACTATACACAGCTTGCATGCGTACCTAGAATATATGTACGCACATAAACTAAAATGTTTTTTTATTAATCTAGTAAGGCCCACTGAGCAATGCAGCTCTTTTTTCAGAACCAACCAGGCCACAAATGATATCTCAACGAAGTGGCTCATCACGTGGACATTTCTAGCAGCCACATGGTCGTTTACAAGGCCCAGTTGTCCTACGGGATTCCCACAACTGGTTCAGGACCGCGAGTGATGATGGGAGCCTCCCCCATTTCTCGCTTGCAAGGCGAGAGGAGACACTTTGAAAGTGCCTGTTGGGATGGCGTGTGTGTGTGTGTGAGCCAGTGTGTGTGTGAGCCAGTGTGTGTGTGTGAGCCAGTGTGTGTGTGTGTGAGCCAGTGTGTGTGTGTGTGAGCCAGTGTGTGTGTGTGAGCCAGTGTGTGTGTGTGTGTGAGTCAGCATGTGTGTGTGTGAGCCAGTGTGTGTGTGTGAGTCAGCGTGTGTGTCTGTGTGAGCCAGTGTGTGTGTGAGTCAGCGTGTGTGTGTGTGTGTGAGCCAGCGTGTGTGTGTGTGTGTGAGCCAGTGTGTGTGTGTGTGTGAGCCAGTGTGTGTGTGTGTGAGTCAGCGTGTGTGTGTGTGAGCCAGCGTGTGTGTGTGTGTGAGCCAGCGTGTGTGTGAGCCAGCGTGTGTGTGAGCCAGTGTGTGTGTGTGTGAGTTGGTCATGATGCTGGCACCTGGTCTGGAGTGATTGGAGGGCATGGGCCAGATCAGATCAATAACAACGGTAGGAGGCTGCTAGATTTTTGTGCAGCCCATGTGCTTGTAATTACCAACACGCTGTTCCGGCATCGGCGCATCCACACAACATCATGGATGCATGCCGGGTCCGAGCAAGAACATCTGCTGGACTACATAGTAACAGACCAGTGGATGCGAGCCCATGTCCTTGACACCAGGGCCTACCGTGGAGCTGATCTGCCCTCTGACCATCGACTAGTCATCTGTAAGATGCGCCTGCCATTCTTCCACTCCGGTGGTGGGTGTACACCCAGGACCCCATTCCAACCTAAAGTGGCCTGGACTCAGTTATCTGATGAAAGTTGCAAGCGAGAATTTCATCATCGCTTGCGGCTGGGATTGGCATCGTCCCCGACTCCTCCTGATGTCGAGGGTAAATGGGCGAGGTTTAGGACTGTGACTCATGCAGCTGCAATGGCTGCTTTGGTTACACGGTCCAGACCTCCCCAGAGACCCTGGCTGACAGAGGAGGTGTTCAGGATGGTTGAGAAAAAGCGACAGGCCCACTGTCATCGGCTACAGAATCCCACGTCAGAGAATAAGGAGGCTTACCGCAGCCTTCGCTCGGAGGTTCGGAGAGCCGTGAGGCGCTGCAAGGATGGGTGGTGGTCGCGGGTTGCTGAGGAGATGGAGTCTGCCTCAGTGGCCCGTGATCACAAATCTCTATTTAACTCCATCAAAAAAGTAACCTGCAGCGCCACACCTATTACCATCATTAGGGGAAAAAACGGTGATCCAATCTCCGACCCCCAGGAACAGGTTTGCAGATTTGCTGAGCATTTCTGTGAGGTCCTGGGGGAGGGAAAATCCCTCAGCCAGGCAAACATCATGGCACAAAGTGAGGATAACCCTGCTGAGGCTGCGGTGCCTCAAATATTGGAAGAAGTCACCCCCTGTGAGTGGCTGGCTGAGGTGCCATCTGTTGAGGAAGTACTGAAGGCGATCCTGAGTCTGAGACCAGGAAAGGCAGCGGGCAGAGATGATCTCCCAAGCGAAATGCTGAGGGAGGTTGGCGTTTGTTCACAGACTGCCCTATATGACAGTTTGGACCACTGGACGGGTTCCGCAGGATTGGAAGGATGCCCTGGTGGTCCCCCTTTTTAAGAAGGGAGACCTCACAGACTGTAACAACTACAGGGGCATCTCACTCCTCAGTGTGCCGGGAAAGGTCCTGGCAAGGATTATTCAACATCGCCTTGCCAGGCACGCTGAGGAGAGGCTTGCAGAGCCCCAATTCGGTTTCAGGAAAGGGCGGTCCTGCACAGATGCCATATTTTCTGTCCGTCTGCTACAGCAGAGGTGTAGGGAATTTCAACAAGACCTACATCTCTGCTTTATTGACCTGGTCAAGGCCTATGATACCATCAGTAGGCCTGGGCTCTGGGTTGTTCTTCGTGCTTTTGGAGTACCTGACCCTCTGCTCACGATCATTAAGGACCTTCATGATGGTGAGCAGACCCGGGTAAAACTACGTGGCCGGGAGTCAGAGCCATTCCCTGTACACCTTGGGGTGCGACAGGGATGTCCTCTGGCTCCCACATTATTCAACATCTATTTTCACCACGTAGTTCGTGAAGCCTTCAATAGCTGTCCCGGGGGAATCTCCATATGGTTCAGATATAATGGGAGGCTGATCGATGCCCGGGTGCGGTCAAGGGATGGCTCCCTATTGCTCAACCACGTTATGTATGCTGATGATTTGGTAATAGCTGCTCATTCAGAGAAGGAGTTGGAGACGCTGCTGCTGAGACTGGAGCGTGCCACTAAGAGGTGGGGTCTTACCGTCAGCCCCACCAAAACTAAGCACCTGCCTGGGTATTTTGTACCATCGGACACTCCACCCCCACAACTCCCAATCGGTGATGGGGCAGTTGTGGAGAGAGTGGAGAGTTTCCCATACCTGGGCTGTGTGCTTATGACCGGCTCCAGTTTAACAGCAGAGGTCTCACTCCGAATCAGTCGAGCGGCAATATCTTTTCATCGGCTGCGTAACGCTGTGTGGAAGCTACCTGGTCTGTCGCTCCGCACTAAGCTTCAGGTCTTCTCGGCCACGGTCATTCCCTCCCTTCTCTACGCTTGCGAAACGTGGAGCCCCTTAATGGAACATCTTCGCCGGTTAGAAACATTTAGGCTGGCCTGCCTACGATCCATCCTGGGTTTAACCAGACTGGATTGTGTGAGGAGCTCACAAATCCTTGAAGGATCTGGGCAAGGTCCCATCGGTGAGCTCCTCCGGCTGGCAAGGCTGCTTTGGCTGGGTCATGTAGCCCGCATGCCCAGCCATCGCATGCCGAAACAACTTTTGTTCGGCCGGATTGAGGGGACTAAGTGGGCGTGGCACGGACTAGAGAAGAGATGGAGTGATGTGCTACAGGAGGACGTGGAGCTGAGTGGACTTGCCGATGACTGGTACCAGCAGTGTCAAGATCGGCCTCTGTGGAGGAGGCTCGTGAAGGACGCTACTGGGCAGTTGGAGGCAGTCGCCCTCCAACAACAACGGAGGGCGGAGGAGCGACGCTCAGAACAACGAGCGGAGCGCCGGGTGGCTAAAGCACAGCAGGTTGGCACAGTAGGGGGCACAGGTGGTGCATCAGCCAGTCATCTCAGTCAGTCGACCCGTGGCACCTGGGTCTGCCCCGTGACCTCCTGCCAGCGGGCGTTCGACACTTCACGTGGCCTCAGGGTGCACATAGCCTGGCACAAGCGCCGTGGTGACGTCACCGCCACTTAGTGGCGAATGGCGGTTGTTGTTGTTGTGTGTGTGTGTGAGCCAGCGTGTGTGTGAGCCAGCGTGTGTGTGGCCGCTGGGTGGTGCTAGGCACACACTCGTCTCTCCTCGCTGGATAACCGCAAACGCAAAAAAAACATTTCATTCACCAATGCAGGAGGGGCAGTGCTGCTGCTGCCGGGTTTTTGTTCTACCTCAATGCAAACCCCACTCGCACCGTTCATTAACTGAGTGGGTATTTAAGAGGCAACCCGAGTGAATTTCCCCGCACCTGCGGTGTGAAAACCGTCCCTCGTTCTTGTCGACTCCCGTCGTTTCACCCCATGCCCTTTCTACATGAGCATCAGCAAGGCGCTGACCCCCGCACTATAATACTCGTTTAAGGCTTTAATCAATCTATCAGAGGGATCTGAGAACCAGGGGCTCAGGTTTAAATGCCACCGGTGTTAAGCATCATGGCCATGGATACAACTCTGCGTGAAACCGGTCTCTGCTGGCATTATTGTCTTTGAAACAGTGTGTTTTGTCAGTCTGTCTAAAGCACCACATCAGAGTCTGGTATGTTAATCTACCGTCTAAAGACCCCACCAGAGACTTGGCAAGTCTGTCTCCACATATAGACAGCCTTCCCCCTATATATGGACAAAAAAAAGGCCAGACACAACCCGTATACATACTTGTATATGTGTGTGTGTGCGACTGTATATGTGTGTGTGCGCGAGCGTGAATAGTGAGCCCGGAATGTGGAGTGCCACAGAGACAGGAAGTGGTTGGGGAGGACACCGAGAGTGGGGAGAGGGGGTCTCCCTGAGGCCTCCCTGAGGTCCACGAGGTTCAACGGAGGAGGGCGGGCATGGGGTAGGGGGGCACCCAGGCGGTTATTGACGGCGTCTGCTCCGCCCCGCTCACAGACGCCGGCGAGCTGTTTTAACCTCTGACCTGTCCGACATTGGCACAGCCCGGGGGAGGCTAAGGCCACGGCATCAGTCGAATTAGGCTAAGAGGTGCATGACGGTAGCTTAAAATAACGTTGTACTTGTGAATTAAAATGTTAAGGTCACGTTGCGCTGCCATTTAGAGTTTGTCGACTCATAATTGGAAGGCTGCGAGCATCAATTCCCAGACCGGATCGGCCTCTCGTCCCCACCCCCTCCAGGGGAAGGATAAAACGAGTGCCACTTGACAGAAGTCATTGTGGGGAGTCAACTGTGACCGTCCTACAGAAGGACTGGCCCGTTGAAATAGGACGACAGATGTTCCACAACTCGCTCTGGGCCACTTCCATGTCCATTTGAGTCTGAGTAAAAAAATTCCTCGCCCGGTTTTGACATATTTAATATCCTCGCTTTCCAAGATCGGAGTCCACCGAGATTTGTTTTTGCTTTTGCAATAAAAGCCTTGGACAGCAGTACTGGCGCAGTAACAGATATTTTTAATCAACTGCTACTTTTTTCATCCTTAACTTGATGTTCTAAATTGGCTTATGCTTCCAAGATATTATGGCCTGATGTCCAGCCACCGGCACGCTTTGGGTAACTCCCCGTAAGCTATCACACCGGCGGCTGCGGGAAGTCACCATTGGCTTGGCGATCGCAGCGACCGCTAGGGCCACGCATTTCCCCTAAGAAAACAGCGAGACGTCCGATGACGGACAGAAGCCAGGCTCAAGAAAACCTCCGGGTTTATTCCCCCACGTCCCAAACGTCTCACCCGTACCCTCCACAAACCCCGTTCGCCAAGACCCCATCCGAGTTTAATTTCAAAGAGTCTGATGGATCTCTGACCCCAAAGCTCTCGCTGGCCAAACCGTACCAAAGCTAGCATTGCTTCCCATGACAAAGATGCCCCCTTATAGACTTCACAGACTTTTGGGGTAAGTGTTGTTCGCGAGCACCGATGAAGGTGGCCAACACTACGCCCAGCTGGCCTTGTCTCCAAAGTGGTAATGTTTACGCACCGCACCAGGTACTCATTTGAGGCTGAGTGGACCTAGGGGAGGCCCAGAACCGGTTCAGATAATCATGACTGGTGTTGACCGAGAGCAGGAAGTGAACTCGGGTGGATTGCTTCGTAGCACGGCGCGCTAATCGTTTCATTACCGCTCCCCACAATATACACTGTGTGTGCGCGTACATGCACACGCGCGTACATGCACACGCGCGAACATGCACATGCACGCGCGTACGCATATGCACATACACAAAAGCGTGTGCACGCACACACACACGCCGGAATTTTATTTAGACATTCCGCAAGGGTGACCTCCAACTCCAGCAGCTGTGCTGAATGGAAATGTTTGATTCGATTCGATGTGATCCTTGCCAACGTAATGTTATTTTAACACCCGCTGCAGATAAAAAGAAAAATAAATAATGAGCGAGTCATCCCTGTAAGCTTTCTCTCCGGTGAATGATCCACCTCACTTCCATTGATTTATTTAATGCAGGGCTCTTGCAGCTCAGTGGCAATTGTTATTATTAAATTACCTTGTTTTGGCGTTAGTTTCAATCCGATGGTTGGGGTTAAAAGACGGCATTACGACATAATGGCTTCGTTTAGCAAATCGAAATTGTGGTCATGGTCAAACGTCAGCACTGGGGGGAGGCAAAGGTGGCTGAACATTCTACTCTGCTGCCCACATCGTCCCCCCCCCCTCCTCCGCATGCGTCGCGTGTGCCTCACAAACAGCACTTGTCTAAATTTCGATTTAAAGCTTTCGTGACTGCAGGGATTCATCTTCTTGGTTCTTTCGGTAAAGTCACCACGTAGAATGTAAATAAAATAATAAAAATGAAACATAATAAAATAAAATTCTCACGACGTTTCGGCCGCAACACAATTAGCCTTCTTCAGGTGAATAAACAGGTCTGTCCAGAAAACAGCGCTTGAGTGAACGCTGCCAAGCAAGGACCGCGTCTTTCAAGCTGTGTGGGCGGAGTAAACATGTGAATTAGCATGTTACCCAGCCCCACCTCTGGAGCGGAGGAGGGTGGCGGCTGGGCACAAGAAAATACCAAAGCAGAGCAACTAAGGTGCGCTGCTCTGTCCTGTGTTGCATTATAACTGTGTTATAAACTGGACTACTATACAATACAGTATTATACCTTGCAATCTAAACTACATGGTATAATATCATATCCATAGACAAATTCCACCTTTGAATTATACAATGCGTTACTTTACACTACCCTATACTTTAGACTATAAAATATTAGACTTGTAACATTACACTATGTCTTATTCTATGAACCCAACTATATACCACACTGCTGTATATTAACTATGCAATTACGATACTATATATTGCCTTATGAATTATGTTAAACATTACAATGTTATACTATTTATTATTATACCACATGCTATAAACCATATCATTAACCGTGGTGTGAGAGGTATTAAGAGGCAGTGCCAGCGAATGAACTGCGGTCTGAAGGTCACCGTAAAATACAATCAATTAAGAACCGAAATGGTTTATACCATCTTTCCAATGGTTACTAATCCAGAATCCATCTTCTCGGTTTAAATTGTCTGTGTGTTTGTATATGTGGATGGCCTCATGAAGGAATCTCTCATGGTAGCCGGATGGCTTGCAGAGAACCTCCGTCTTGGAGAAGTCAATGTCATCTAAGCCTACTGAATTATAGCAGTGATCTGCTACGACTGAGGTGTTCGTCCTACCGTGTTTCAAGTCTGCTTTATTTTCACGGATGCGGTCCGAGATATGTAGTTTGGTTTCTCCAATGTAGCTGCTACCACAGAGGCAACTTAGTTTGTAAGTGAACTCAAGCATGTACACCAAGCTCTCAAGACTAATGGTTACTCCGACTACACAATCCGCAAAGCCATCACTCCAGTCATGAAGAAGGATCCTCTTGAGGAGCCATTCAAAACCATCACCTTACCCTACATTGCAGGGGTCACAAAAAAAGATCTCCAAAATCCTGAATAAACACAAGATCCAGGTCCGATTCAACACAGTACATAAAATCCGTGATCTGGTTCCGTCTGTAAAATGTGGTTCCAGACATACAGTACCCGGGCATTTGCAAACTAAGTTGCCTCTGTGGTAGCAGCTACATTGGAGAAACCAAATGACATATCTCGGACCGCATCCGTGAACATAAACCAGACTTCAAACACGGTAGGACTAACTCCTCAGCCATGGCAGATCACTGTTATAATTCAGTGGGCTCATATGACATTGACTTCTCCAAGACAGAGGTTCTCTGCAAGCCATCCGGCTACCATGAGAGATTCCTTCATGAGGCCATCCACATATACAAACACAGAGACAATTTCAACCGAGAAGATAGATTCTGGCTTAGTAACCATTGGAAAGATGTTATAAATCATTTCGGTTCTTAATTGATTGGATTTTACGGTGACCTTCAGACCGCAGTCCATTCGCTGGCACTGCCTCTTCATACCTCTCACACCTCGGTTAATGATGTGGTTTATAGCATGTGGTATAATAATAAATAGTATAACATTGTAATGTTTAACATAATTCATAAGGCAATACATAGTATCGTAATTGCATAGTGAATATACAGCAGTGTGGTATATAGTTGGGTTCATAGAATCAGACAGTGTAATGTTACAAGTCTAATATTTTATAGTCTAAAGTATATGGTAGTGTAAAGTAACGCATTGTACAATTCAAAGGTGGAATTTTATTTTATTATGTTTTATTTTTATTCTATTATTTCCATTATACGTGACTTTACCGAAAGAACCAAAAAGCACTTGTCTAGACGGTCCGGAATGGCGCTACAGTGACGAGAAGTTAACTACCTCGCCTGGTATACAGGAGGTCATGGGTTTGATTCATACCCTGACACCTGCTGCTGTATATTTGGAGTTTGCGTGTCCCTCTCCCCGTGGTCATGTGGATTTTTCTCCGGGTCCTCCGGTTTTTCCCTCCACATTCACATTTAGAATGAACATCACGCGTTTAAGAGAATTTGGCGGCTGTAAATGTCCACATGATAAGCCACTTCGTTGAGCTATCATTTGTGGCCAGGTCACTTCTAAAAGAGTGCTATATGGCAGAGTGGGCCTTAGCTGGTAATAATTGTGGAGTCTGCACGTCATGAAGCGGTCTGCTGTGGTGTGACAAAGTGCCGTGCCACGCGGTCAGCGTGGCACAGCGTCGCTTGCCGCGGTGCTTTACGATTTTGTACAACGCGGGATGCTGTGGGCATGGGGGGAGTACCGTAAAGTAACGCGGTGCAGGGTGGTGTACGGGATGGCATGAAATCTCTATGGGTGTCTCTGTGAGCCTGAATAGGTCTCTATGGGTGTCTGAGTCTCAATGTGTTTCTGTGTGGGTCTCTGTCAGTCTCTATTGGTCTCTATGGTTGTCTCAGGGTCTCTGAGTATGAGTCTCCCTGTGTCTTTGTGGGTCTCTGTTTTTTGTCCTTCCTCCGCACCTCCGATTGGCACGGTTGGCGACGTACGGTGCAAAACACGGTGTGGCACGGTATGGCATGGCGTGACGTGGTGTGACGTGGTGTGGCGCAGTGTGGCACGATGAGGCACGGTGTGGCGCCGACTTACTGGGCTGTGGCGTGGGCCAGGCGTGCCGCGACAGGAGGTGCGGTGAGTCCGGGTCGGACGAGGCGACACTGTCCCCGCCGTGGTCGCCGGTGACGTCGCCCCGAGCCCGCGGGCCCGGCCTGTGGGAGGAGGAAGCAGCCAAGCCACGGTCAAAGCCTCGCGTGGAGGTCACGGGGGGGTCACGATTCGGTATTTCCACCTTTTTGTTCTTAATATAAAAACATGAACGTATATATTTTACGTTACTAAGCATACACATTTTAAGTGCACAGCTCCATCTCCGTTGCGGACGTGCTCCCGAGCGCACGTTGCAACCCCCCCTACCTCCCCTTTGGCTGCCACTCCATCGTTAACCTCGACCGCCGGACCAAGTACCCTCGCTCACCGTGACGCGCCCTGGCCGAACCCGCTCAACTTATCTCGTGCAACTTTTATTCCAACCGGGAGCTCGCTCAGAACGTATGGCGGGGGCGATTAATTCGCGCGTTGGCATGAAACCCAACTTGCGTCAACATCTGGCACAAAATTCGGCCGAGTTGCCGCTATTTTCTGCCTCTGTGGCCGTTTCGATGCCAACCACAACAACATCGAGAGAAAAAATAATGGAAAAAAGCATTTCCGCCGCGTCTCCTCCGGACGGGGGATCTGTGACACATGCACGCGTGGGGAGCGCGCGATGCGGAGCAATCACCGGTGGGGGCACCGCCGAGCGAGTGACCCTGCCAGCGCACGCGTTGTTAAGGCAGTGCGTGTTCCTATGCACTGGGCCCAATGTTTGCGCGCGCGTGTGTGTCCGTGTGTTACGGTTACGGGGAGCGGTAGAGTGTTGTGGTTAGTGCGCTGCGAGTTCGATTCCCGCTCACGGCCTAAACAAGTGACGATCTGAACCGGTCCCGGTATGGTGTGCAAACATCGCCGCTGGGGAGAAAAAGGCGGTCGGCCGTGATGCTGGCCACCCACCCCTCGTGTGCCGTGCCGGTCTTCATAGGCGCTCGCTAACAGCACTTGCCCCAACAGTCTGTTAAGGCTACACGGCGGATCTTTGTCTTCGTATTAAGGTTGAGTCCCTGCGTACCCCCTTGTGCAAAGCACATTAAGGTGGAACGCACGCGCACCAGTGCGCGCAAGTCCCACCTACATCCAAGAGATCCACTTTGTTGTCTACCGCGTGCCAGTGCGTGGTCCCCCGATGCACCAAGTGTGTGATTTAAGGCTGCGACTCGGTGGATCCACCAACCCGGGCGAGAACGTCGACATCGTGGGGTCCCTCTGCACCGGCGTGAGCTAGTGTGCATGTGTGCGCGCGCGCATGTGCGAGATTAAGGCTACGTCCCCGTTTCACCCCACCACCACTACCATGCTCCGCAATGGACTGCATCGCACGGCAGGTGCGGCTCGTCTGCTACGCCAAGAGACGATTAATAACGGCTCGCAGAGCGACGGCAGTCACCAATCCCTGACCGCGCACCGCAGAGTTGCGCCGCTGCTCACTTAAGAGCATTCTCCGACGGTGCAATTTCAGACATTCTCGTCGAGGTGAACTCCGGAAGCCGTTGGCTCGCTCGCCAACCTCGACACGAATGTAGAAATGCCGCCCCATCAACTCCCCACCGTATGGTAGAAGACGTCCTCCCCACCCCTGCCGCCATTGCAAGTGCAAGCCACCTCCTTATCACTCTGCTATAACGACTACCACGGTGATCGTTCCCATGAATCTCACTCCTTAATTCCTCCACCCAAGTTGAGGACTGTCTGAGCAGGCCGCTTCGTCTCATCCACGCGGTGTTCCACCAACCACCCTGCACGTCACCTCACTTCTTTTGCCTGCTTTCTTCGCTCGGACGGCCCCACTTTGGATCCCCCGTCCAACGTCTCGCGTCGTAGGGCGCCACGGTGGCAAGATGTTAACTACCTCGCCTGGTATACAGGAGGCCATGGGTTCGACCCTTACCCTAACGCCAGTATATTTGGAGTTTGCATGTTCTCCCGTGGTCGCGTGGATTGTTCTCTGGGTCCTCCGTTTTTTTCTTCCACATTTATAATCAACATCACACGTTTAGAGTATTGGGCTGCTATACATTTCCACACTATAAGCCACTTCATTGAGCTACCAGGTAAGTGGGCCTTACCTGGTAAAATAAAAAAAAATGGTTTACAGCTTTACTTTATAGTAACCTTGCTCGATTCACCTTTCGAGACCGCTGTTTGTTGCTGGCCGCATGGCACTGCGGGCCTGCGGCCCCGGCGACCGCCATCACGAACCGAGTGCGCGAGGGGGGTGGGGGGGCGCACCTGAGGGCGTCGGTGGCGGCGTGCGCGTCCCCGTGCGACCCGCCCAGCGCCAGCTCCGCCAGCGGGGAGAAGTCCAGGCTGGCCGAGCTGTTGCTGCAGCGGTCGCCGCTGTCGTAGCCGGACTCGATCCGCAGCAGGGGCCCGTTGAGCCAGTCCCGCTCCTCCTCGGCGCTCTCTGCGCACGCGGGCACGGCGATGGTTGCATGCGGTCACACGAGTGAACGAGCGAGCGTTCACACACACACACACGCAGGTTCTTTTGGTAACGCGCACGCACATACACGCACACTCTTTTAGTAACACGGACCCACATACACGCACACTCTTTTAGTAACACGCAGCAGCAGCAGCAGCAGCAGCGGTGCATGCATAAACCAACACAGCTCACGACCGCTGTGATTGCAACGCGCATCGGCAGTGACAGCTTCATTAGGGGTATTGCAAGAGTGTTGAGCGAGCAGTGAGCGAGCATCATCACCGCTCCCTCCCCCGCGTCTCTGCCACGTCACAAGGAGGGCGCACGATTGATGCCTGAATGCGAAACGTGACGCTGCGCTGCACTCTCTTGTCACTCTCCTGGCAAGATTTCCAATGAAAACGGTGCACATGGAGCCTTGCTATTGAACGCCGTCAGCTGACGGAGAACCTTGACGCCAATTGTGTCAGCGAGCACCTCTGAAGGCTTGCGGGCGGCACACCGAGTTCAGACGGCAATCGCTGCAGATGGTAGCTCCATGTAGGTATGTATGCCTGGCCGGGCATTAAGCCTCAGCTGCCGGAATAATGCATTTCGCGTGCACTCTCAGCAACATACCGAGCGCAGACACTCTGACACGCGCGCGCACACACACACACACGCATTCCACACTTAGCCTAGTCCACCGTAGGGACAGGAGCTGTTATAGCAAGCACCTATTAAGGTCGGCACTCGGCACCGCACAAGAGGGGGCTGGAGTGACATGGCCGGCACCATCCAGGGCCACTCGATGCGAGCCGTGCAGTTCTCCGGGGTTCGTACTGCATTGGCGCTAATCACTATGCCGCTAATCACTGTGCCATCCCCTACCCCGCCCCCCCACCACCACCATGCCTCCCAAACAGAACCTGCTCCCGCCGCAGGTTACACCGGGATCGTCATCTTCGAACAAAGATTCCCCCTATAGCCTTAACAGACCGTTGGGGCAAGTGCTATTAGCGAACGCCTATGAAGCCGGGCACAGCACACGAGGGGGGTGGGGTGGCCGGCACCACGCCCGCCCACCTTTATCTACCCAGCGATGTTTACACACCACACCAGGCAGAGTCAACCTAGGGGAGACCCAGTTCAAATATTTACCACTGTTATTGGTCGTGAGAGGTACTCAATCTGGGGAAGGCTCAGGACCGGTTCAGATAATCATCGCACCGCTGTTGCCCATGAGCGGGAATCGAACTCGGGTCGCCGGGTTCGTAGCGAAGCACGCTAACGGCCACGCGACGTACTTTCCCCCGCTTTCGGGAGCTTGCCGTCGGCGTGCGGAGCCTTCCTCGCTCTCTCCGGCTGCTCCGTCTTCCCAACCACGGCGCCGTCAGCTGGACCCCCTCCTCCGCCTGCGCCGCTTCCTCCTCCACCGCCGCCGCCGCCCCCTCCGACCGAGACTCCGCCGCCGCCACCGCCGCCGCTGCTGCTCGCTCCGCTGCTGCTGCTGCCGCCGCTGCTTGCGGCGCCCGCGGCGCCGCCGGGCCGCGCGGGACTGCCCGCGGGCGGCGCCGCCACGCCGCCGCGCTTCTCGCGCCGCTCGCAGAACACGCTGTCCACGTTGAGCGCCTCGCGGTTGGGCCGCCAGCCCCGCACGCCGCGCTGGGGCTTGCCCTCCGCCGAGCCGGACCGCGACTCCGCCTTGGCGTCGCCGCCGCTGCTTCCGCGCGGCCGCGGTTCTTTGTCGGCGCAGCCCGCAGGAGGCTTCGGCGCGGAGGGCGCGGCGGTTGGCAGGGCCGACGCAGGATCTGCCGCGGTACCGGAGCGGTGGCCGCCGCTGTCTTTGCGGGGTGGCTCCTGCGGCTGCTGCTGCTGCTGCTTGGTTTCCTGCTTTGGCTTCTGTTTGGCGTCGTCCGACTTCTGCCGGGAACGCGACTTCTCCTTCAGAGCCTCCCCTGATTGCGGGAGAACGGGAGAGGTGGTAGGATGAGGACGGAGCGGCGAGCGAAGCCGAGAGCGATATGGAGAAAAGATCAACTGTTGTGAGCGGCTGAGCTTGACACTAATGGTATGGCACATCCAGGGGGCCACTGCCCCATACTCATTTGAGTTTGCGGACCAACTTTAACTCTGGTGGTTATTATACACGAACCGCTCAACTGCTCAACTCACACCCAGGTATTGCTCATCTCCATCGGTGCCCCCCTAAACCAATGCTGCAAGATCCCCACTCCCATGGTAGGGTTCACCAGCACAGGCCAAACGTGGAAATCCACCGCGAGATAACCTTTGTAACGTCACGCGTGACGTCGCCCTGAATCTCCCGTCTATGGCAGCCGCACCTCTCTCCGTCCACCCCCGTCACCCCCCACCCCGCACCCCCCGTACCGTCGCTGTGGTAGCCAGACTGCGGCGACGGGTCGCCGTCCCTGCCGACGCGCGCCGGCCTGCTCTGGCTGCGCTTCTTCTCGGCGCTACCGCCCTTGTTGCTGCGCTGCTGCCGGTTCCGCTCGTGCGATGGGGATTCTGCACCCAGCCACAGCAGAGACACCGCGGTGCGGCTGAGCAGCTGGTACCGTACGGTAAGTTCACAACACCGGCGCTTCAGAGTATCGATGGTTTAGAGTGTCGATGGTTTAGGTCGATGGTTTAAAGTGCCGATGGTTTAGAGTGTCAATGGTTTAGAGTGTCAATGGTTTAGAGTGTCACTGGTTTAGAGTGTCAATGGTTTAGAGTGTCGATGGTTTAGAGTGTCAATGGTTTAGAGTGTCAATGGTTTAGAGTGTCGATGGTTTAGAGTGTCGATGGTTTAGAGTGTCAATGGTTTAGAGTGTCAATGGTTTAGAGTGTCAATGGTTTAGAGTGTCAATGGTTTAGAGTGTCGATGGTTTAGAGTGTCAATGGTTTAGAGTGTCGATGGTTTAGAGTGTCAATGGTTTAGAGTGTCAATGGTTTAGAGTGTCAATGGTTTAGAGTGTCAATGGTTTAGAGTGCCGATGGTTTAGAGTGCCAATGGTTTAGAGTGTCAATGGTTTAGAGTGTCAATGGTTTAGAGCTTCAATGGTTTAGATTGTCAATGGTTTAGAGTGTCAATGGTTTAGAGTGTCAATGGTTTAGAGTGTCAATGGTTTAGAGTGTCAATGGTTTAGAGTGTCAATGGTTTAGAGTGTCAATGGTTTAGAGTGTCGATGGTTTAGAGTGTCAATGGTTTAGAGTGCCGATGGATTATGCCGCAGGTTTAGAGTGTCAATGGTTTAGAGTGTCAATGGTTTAGAGTGCCGATGGTTTAGAGTGTCAATGGTTTAGAGTGTCGATGGTTTAGAGTGCCGAGGGTTTAGAGTGCCGATGGTTTAGAGTGCCGATGGATTAGGCCGATGGTTTAGAGTGCCGAGGGTTTAGTGTGCTGATGGTTGAGGAGCATCCATGGTGCAGAATCCCGTCGGGACACGGTGCCGATGGGTAACAGTGCTTGGGTTTTACCTGCGGCCTTGCTGCTGCCGCTGCCGCTTCCGGCGGCGGTGGCGCTCGCGGCAGCGACGCTCGCGACGGCGTGCGGCACGTCGTGCCCCGCGTTGTGGATGACCGTGGTCTGCGAGTCGGACGAGTCCGAGTGCGGCTGCAGCAGGCACTCATTGGACGAGTCCGTCTTGGAGTCGCTGGAGATGGACGGCTCTCGACCTGGACGTTCGCAAACGCGGGGGGGCTCAGCGCGGCGGAGCGGCTCGGTAGAGGAGCTCGCTGCCGGCACGGAGATGACCCGGCATGGGGGCGGCGCTGCCTCGCAAGAGACGGGCCACCGATTGCTACGCTTGGAAACTACCATCAGGGTATACACAAGGCACGGAGAGCCCGTATTTTTTCCCGCGCTCAAGCAATGCTGCTGAAATTGTGCACGCCCAGAAGGACACGTGGCTGATGGGATGTGTAAAAAGTATGTCCGAGGGTGTCAGTACGTCTGTGCGTGTTGGTAAGTCTGAGCGTGTCGGTACGTCCGAGCGTGTCGGTGAGTCTGAGCGTGTCGGTACGTCTGAGCGTGTCGGTGAGTCTGAGCGTGTCGGTGAGTCTGAGCGTGTCAGTACGTCTGAGCGTGTCGGTACGTCTGTGCGTGTCGGTGAGTCTGAGCATGTCAGTGAGTCTGAGCGTGTCGGTGAGTCTGAGCGTGTCGGTACGTCTGAGTGTGTCGGTGAGTCTGAGCGTGTCGGTGAGTGTGAGCGTGTCGGTACGTCTGAGCGTGTCGGTACGTCTGAGCGTGTCGGTGAGTCTGAGCGTGTCGGTACGTCTGAGCGTGTCGGTACGTCTGAGTGTGTCGGTGAGTCTGAGCATGTCGGTGAGTCTGAGCGTGTCGGTGAGTCTGAGCGTGTCGGTACGTCTGAGCGTGTCGGTGAGTCTGAGCATGTCGGTGAGTCTGAGCGTGTCGGTGAGTCTGAACGTGTCGGTGAGTCTGAGCATGTCGGTACGTCTGAGCGTGTCGGTGAGTCTGAGCGTGTCGGTGAGTCTGAGCGTGTCGGTGAGTCTGAGCGTGTCGGTGAGTCTGAGCGTGTCGGTGAGTCTGAGCATGTCGGTACGTCTGAGCGTGTCGGTGAGTCTGAGCGTGTCGGTGAGTCTGAACGTGTCGGTACGTCTGAGCGTGTCGGTGAGTCTGAGCGTGATGGCGAGTCTGAGCGTGTCGGTACGTCTGTGCGTGTCGGTACGTCTGAGCGTGTCGGTGAGTCTGAACGTGTCGGTGAGTCTGAGCGTGTCGGTGAGTCTGAGCGTGTCGATGAGTCTGAGCGTGTCGGTACATCTGAGCGTGTCGGTACGTCTGAGCGTGTCGGTGAGTCTGAGCGTGTCGGTGAGTCTGAGCGTGTCGGTGAGTCTGAGCATGTCGGTACATCTGAGCGTGATGGCGAGTTTGAGCGTGTCGGTGAGTCTGAGCGTGTCGGTGAGTCTGAGCGTGTCGGTACATCTGAGCGTGTCGGTGAGTCTGAACGTGTCGGTGAGTCTGAACGTGTCGGTACATCTGAGCGTGATGGTAAGTCTGAGCGTGTCGGTGAGTCTGAGCGTGTCGGTACATCTGAGCGTGTCGGTGAGTCTGAGCGTGTCGGTGAGTCTGAGCGTGTCGGTGAGTCTGAACGTGTCGGTGAGTCCGAGCGTGTCGGTAAGTCTGAGCGTGTCGGTACATCTGAGCGTGTAGGTACATCTGAGCGTGTCGGTGAGTCTGAGCGTGTCGGTACGTCTGAGCGTGTCGGTGAGTCTGAGCGTGTCGGTACATCTGAGCGTGTCGGTGAGTCTGAACGTGTCGGTGAGTCTGAACGTGTCGGTGAGTCTGAACGTGTCGGTGAGTCTGAGCGTGTCGGTGAGTCTGAGCGTGTCGGTATGTCTGAGCGTGTCGGTACGTATGTGTGTGTCGGTGAGTCTGCGCGTGTCGGTGAGTCTGAGCGAGTCGATAAGTCTGAGTGTGTCAGTACGTCTGAGCGTGTCGGTACGTCTGCGCGTGTCGGTGAGTCTGAGCGTGTCGGTGAGTCTGAGCGTGTCGGTACATCTGAGCGTGATGGTAAGTCTGAGCGTGTCGGTAAGTCTGAGCGTGTCGGTAAGTCGGAGCGTGTTGGTGAGTCTGAGCGAGTCGATAAGTCTGAGTGTGTCAGTACGTCTGAGCGTGTCGGTACGTCTGCGCGTGTCGGTGAGTCTGAGCGTGTCGGTGAGTCTGAGCGTGTCGGTACATCTGAGCGTGATGGTAAGTCTGAGCGTGTCGGTAAGTCTGAGCGTGTCGGTAAGTCGGAGCGTGTTGGTGAGTCTGAGCGTGTCGGTGAGTCTGAGCGTGTCGGTGAGTCTGAGCGTGTCGGTGAGTCTGAGCGTGTCGGTATGTCTGAGCGTGTCGGTGAGTCTGAGCGTGTCGGTGAGTCTGAGCGTGTCGGTGAGTCTGAGCGTGTCGGTGAGTCTGAGCGTGTCGGTACGTCTGCGCGTGTCGGTGAGTCTGAGCGTGTCGGTAAGTCTGAGCGTGTCGGTAAGTTGGAGCGTCTCGGTGAGTCTGAGCGTGTCGGTGAGTCTGAGCGTGTCGTTGAGTCTGAGCGTGTCGGTGAGTCTGAGTGTGTCGGTACGTCTGAGCGTGTCGGTACGTCTGCGCGTGTAGGTGAGTCTGAGCGTGTCGGTAAGTCTGAGCGTGTCGGTAAGTTGGAGCGTGTCGGTGAGTCTGAGCGTGTCGATACGTCTGAGCGTGTCGGTGAGTCTGAGCGTGTCGGTGAGTCTGAGCGTGTCGGTACGTCTGCGTGTGTCGGTGAGTCTGAGCGTGTCGGTGAGTCTGAGCGTGTCGGTACATCTGAGCGTGATGGTAAGTCTGAGCGTGTCGGTAAGTCTGAGCGTGTCGGTAAGTCGGAGCGTGTTGGTGAGTCTGAGCGTGTCGGTGAGTCTGAGCGTGTCGGTGAGTCTGAGCGTGTCGGTGAGTCTGAGCGTGTCGGTATGTCTGAGCGTGTCGGTGAGTCTGAGCGTGTCGGTGAGTCTGAGCGTGTCGGTGAGTCTGAGCGTGTCGGTGAGTCTGAGCGTGTCGGTACGTCTGCGCGTGTCGGTGAGTCTGAGCGTGTCGGTAAGTCTGAGCGTGTCGGTAAGTTGGAGCGTCTCGGTGAGTCTGAGCATGTCGGTGAGTCTGAGCGTGTCGTTGAGTCTGAGCGTGTCGGTGAGTCTGAGTGTGTCGGTACGTCTGAGCGTGTCGTACGTCTGCGCGTGTAGGTGAGTCTGAGCGTGTCGGTAAGTCTGAGCGTGTCGGTAAGTTGGAGCGTGTCGGTGAGTCTGAGCGTGTCGGTGAGTCTGAGCGTGTCGGCGAGTCTGAGCGTGTCGGTGAGTCTGAGCGTGTCGGTACGTCTGAGCGTGTCGGTATGTCTGAGCGTGTCGGTGAGTCTGAGCGTGTCGGTACGTCTGAGCGTGTCGGTATGTCTGAGCGTGTCGGTACATCTGCGCGTCTCTGTACGTCTGCGCGTGGCGGCATGCACGGTGCCCGCACCAGAGTCCACGCTGCCGAAGCGCTGCCGGCTGGGCCCCAGCCACATGGTCTCGGTGGGGGCCTCGGACGTGGACACGGGACAGCCCTTGGGGTCTGCGTAGAGCAGCAGCAAGGGCTGGTAGTGGTTCCTGATGCACTTGGACACCACCTCCTTCCACTTGGAGCCGACCTGCAGCAGGCAGTTCACGTCAGCGCTCGGAGTAACGCAGTCAGGGCGGCCGATGACCCAGCACTCTCGCCAGTTCACTTCAGCGTCTCGCTCGCCAACGTTCAGTCGCCATCTCTTTATCTCTCTTCGATCGCTGCTACCATGGTTACTGTTCCCCATGAACGTCGCTCGCCGATTCCTCCACCCAGACTGACCGCTTCGTCTCAGCCATACCGTGTGTTCGTACGCTGCACGTCACGACAGCACCACACTCCCTCGCTCACGACCCTCAAGTTTACTACGCTTCTCTTTCTGCTTCTTCCTTTGCGCCGCTCAAATTGGTCTGTTTTCCCAAGCTCTAAATCGTCTCGCCCAATTCACTACGATGATGAGCCAAGAATGTCTGCGTGTCCTGCGCGTGACGTCACTCCACGTCGACCAGCCCCCCTCATTAATAATCATGAACAGGTGACGTCCTCCACATGGACTCCCACCTCATTAATAATAATTAGCGGGTGACGTCACTCCACATGGGGGGGGCGAGGCGCCTCCTCCCCTCTCCTCGGCGTCAACTTAAAACCCTCACTACAAAGGCAGAACCCTCAGGTCACGCGATCTCCATAGCGCTATTGAGACATCAAAGTAAAAAGTCCGTCATAATGAACAAGGGATTATAACCTTTAAGTGAAATAAGTCTGTGTCACCGCGCTCTTACAAATTGCACACGCATTAATGCAATGAATATGACGTCGCGGTCTGCTTTTCGCTTGCAAATTTCAGATTTACTGCAATACACCCGGACGGGCAAAAGGCGAGTTCAAGAAGAGAGCTTTAACACATCGACTCCGGCTCTCGTGGCGCCGTTTGCTTCTGGCCACTTTCAGATTCTCTGTACCCAACACCTTCGATGAGCACGGTTGGCTACGTACGGTGCTCGAAAGAAGTTCAGCATACGCACATAAATACGTGCGAACAACAACGCCGCACCGCACCGCACTAGCATGCCACCGTGCCGCATTTTAACTGATCACATCAACCTGCGGAATCACTTAACTCAATGGCGCGCAACGCAAAAGCTGTACTCGTGTGACAACGGTGCTCATCCCACGCTGCTTGCACCGCTCTCGTATCGCTACGCGACGGTTCTGACCGCGTCTGTCCGGTGCTTGCCGAGCTGCATTGCCCAACGAATACATTTGCAAGGTCGCGCTCATTGCACACACAAAGCGCTCACCACAATTGAACCACGATACCTCGCTGACCTCGTCAAGACACATAAATCAACACGTGGACTCCGTTCACCCTTGCAGCATGCAGCGGCTTTTGGCTACTGCCACCGAACAAAGACAGTCACCGCATCGCGCGCTTTCAGTTGCGCTTCTGCGGCCGTCTGGAACGCTCTTCCTTCCGATATTGGGAAGCCAAAGGAGCTGTGCACATTTAAATCATTATCTAGATTGAAAACTCATTTCTTTAGAACTGCTTTTTGTGTTTAGTTTGTTGTCCTTCCCCCATACCTTCAATTAGTACAGTTGGCTATGTACAGTGTGAAAGAAGTTCAAGATACATTATCGACGCGATGACGATGCCAAAGCCACCACAACAAGCAGCACCACTTACCTGTCACTCTGCACATCACCCTGCATTCGCATCGCCACACAATCACATCGCGCTGCATCGGAACATCGCTCCACGTCGCACCTGCGCCTCGCTTCACTCTCCCACTCGCACGTCCGCTGCCGAGCGCGACGTTGACGTATGGCCATCGCGCATCACGGCACGTGTCAGCGCTGCTCGCCATCGCCGCGCGCACCACGCAACATCCCGCGCATCCCGCCAAGCGGTAAACGACGTCGCACCGCCGCGGCCATTCGCGGGCACGCGACACCGCGGTGGAGGGGGGGGAGGCTTCCTCGCAGCGCACAGTCTGGAGTCCCCAGGGGGGGTGGAGGGGAGAGGAAATCGAGTGGAATCCGGCGTCTTGCCAGGGCGCTGCGTTCACGCCCCGCCAATGCTTCACGACGTCGCACGCGCGGGCGCCTTCCACTGTGTTCCCACAACCGCTCGAGAGGGGCTTCGGCTCTGGCCTCTCGTCAATCTCAACGGGGGATCCGCGTTGTTCTCACCCATAAATGGTGCAGACCAACGCATTGATTGGATGCGTACATCAAAGCATTCGCTGTGTTCACGAATACATAATCATGAACGCACTACATCAATTTACTCGCAACCGAGTATTTCCCAAGCACAAGCTCTCGCGTGAATGTTAAATGTTCACATGTCACTATAAATATGACGTCTGGAATAGGCCCAACATTACAAGCAGAGCCCTCCCGAACAAGAATTTAGAGACTCTGTAAGGATATCCTGGATAAAAGACATCATTATTATTGATGCACAAAGATAAAGATCGCCCGTATAACCTTAACAGACTGTTGATGCAAGTGCTGTTAGCGAGCACCTGTAAAGTTCAACACGGCACACGAGGTGGTGGGTGGCCAACACCATGCCCAGCCGCTGAGTGGCGATGTTTACTGCACACCGCAGGAGGTACTCATTTGAGTCCGAGTCAACCTAGGGGCGGCCCAGGACCGGTTCAGATAATCGTCACTGGTGTTGGCCATGAGTGGGAATTTAACTCTGGCTGCCAAGTTTGTAGTGCAGCGCGCTAAGCACTGTGCCACCACTCGACCCAACGATGGATGTTCCAAAACCCGCCATTTGCCACTAAGTGATGGTGACGTCACCACTCTGCCTGTGCCAGGCCAGGTGCACTTTGAGGCCACGTGAAATGTCAAAGGCTCGCTGACAGGATGTCTTGGAACAGACTCAGGTGCCATGGGTTGGCTGACTGCGACGTCCGGTAGATGCACCAGCCGTACCCCGTACTGTGCCAACTTGCTGTATTTTAGTCGCCCGGCGCTCCGCTCGTTGTTGTGAGCGTCGCTCCACTGCCCTCCGTTCTTGTTGGAGGGCGACTGCCTTCAACTGCTTCACGAGCCGCCTCCATACACTTGTATACACACACACACATATATATGTATAGCTCACGCAAGAGGTACACACTAGTTCCCTGAACCGAGTTTATAATCAATGGATTTGCGTTGAACTTTTGAGCCATGGATTATTGGGTTCCACGAGGATCAATTTCGATCCGTGGATAATCCAATTGAGGGATAATTGGAATTGTGGCACGCGTGTGTGTGTGCGAGTGCGTAGGTGTTTGTGTGTGCGAGTGCGTAGGTGTTTGTGCGTGCGAGTGCGTAGGTGTTTGTGTGTGCGAGTGCGTAGGTGTTTGTATGTGCGAGTGCGTAGGTGTTTGTGTGTTCGAGTGCGTAGGTGTTTATGTGTGCGTCCGCGAGCGTATTGCGCGACACGCGACCTGGCACCTCCTGTTGCCGCGACGGACGGAGTGCCCAGCAGCTGCTGGCTTGAATTCTGGTTCTTATTTTTGTGGCTTCTCACGTGGGAGACGAGTCCGATCCTTAAGACTGAAAAATACGATTCTGCATGTATTGTACATAGCCAACCGTACTAATCGGAGGTGCGTGTTACATATAATACGTCTATATATATTTATAATTATAATATATTCAATAATTGTATTATACATCATGTAAGTATATTATAATATATAATACAATTACGTAATATTACTGAATTATATAACTATGTCTTTTGTCCATATGATGTATATATATACTTATTATATAATTATTAGCGATGCACTTAAAACATGCGTGCGTGCATCGTGCACGGGGGCTCCTTAAGCTACTGGGGCAGCTGGCGGCACCAGCCCTCCAGCAACAGCAGCGGGAGGAGGGAGGCACGGGAGGACCGCTCACCGCAACGTCTGGTGCCTCGGACACAGCAAAGCCGGCACGGCGGGGGCTCACGGGTGACGGCATCCGCCAGTCGCCCCGCTCAAGTCAGTTCACTCAGAACATCTGGATCTGTCCCATGTCCTCCTGCCAGCGAGTGCCGTGCCCTCAAGCTGTACACTAAGCTGGCACAAGTCCCCAGGTGATGTCATCATTACTTAATGGTGAATTGCAGCAGCTACTGCTGCTGCTGCTGCGTGTGTTGTACATATGGACATGGAAATGCAGTGTCGGTGTGTTACTGATTGGGCTTTATAATTTGTTGTTTTAATAATGAATGGATAATGTTTTAGAATTCAGGGCACGGCACTGCACTTAACAATGTTTGGCGAGATGTTAACTCCCTCGCCTGGTATGCAGGATGTCGTGGGTTTCATCCCAACCCTGACACCTGTATATTTTTGAATTTTCATGGTCTCCCTGTGGTCGCGTGGATTTCTCTCCTGGTTCTAGGGTTTATCCCTCCACATTAAGAATCAACAAATACGTTTAGCGTATTTGGCTGCTATAAATTTACACGCGATAAGCCACTTCGGTGAGCTATCATTTGTGGCCAGGTCGCTTCTGAAAAAGAGCTATATAGCTCAGTGGGCCTCACCTGGTAAAATAAAACTTACTTGAATTGTTTTTAAGGCACATACGAATATACTTGGTATGCATGCAAGCTGTGTGTAAAGCATGCATTTATAATAGTGCGCGTGCGTGTACGCCCGCGCGTGCGTACCAACCAGCTGTGCTTCAGACCCCAGAGAGCAGGGGGTTATAGATTCCTGACTGTGTGAATCGTTGTCGTGTTTCATCGTATCTGAGAATCGCACGGCTGGTACGGCCGTCCCTCCCACCAACGCCCACGTGAGCGGAGAAACGTTACCGGAGAAACGTTACCGATCCACTCGCCACCACTGCGACAGGCTTTTGGCTTCGGCCTCCCCGAGGTCAACGCAGCCTAAAATGAGCTGGAGCACAACGAGTGTATGTAACGCATGCATGTTGAACCTATTTCGCAAAGTACGTAGCCAACCGTACTCATCAGAGGTGCGGGGGAAGGACAACAAACTAAACACAAAAAGCAGTTCTAAAGACATGAGTTTTCAATCTAGACTTAATAGTGCATAGCTCCAGTGGCTTCCTAATATTGGAAGGAAGAGCGTTCTGGACGGCTGCAATCAGCAACTCACCGGCAAACCGGACCACCGGTTCGCCAATTGCCCGCACGGAGGTGAGCTTTCCCGAAATGAAAACTATCCGCGGGGGTGGCAACGCGCGGTGCCGGCGTTACCTCTTTGACCTCCGCGTCGTCGAAGTAGATCCACTTGCGCAGGCGCGTGTGGTAGAAGAAGGTGGAGTAGTGGTGGCCATAGTAGCACACCATGCCGACCAGCCACAGCTCCGTGCGTTTCGCCTTGTCGTCCGTCACACGGTAAAACAGCTGCCGCGGCCGGGACGGAGAGTGGAGTTCGGGGGGGGGGGGGTGGGTGAGGGTGGGGGGGGCGAGAGGGCAGGCACAGGGAGAAACGGCATGAAGGAGAAAGAGAGAGGGAGAAAGAAAAGGAAATTAACAAATGAGTGCTGGCTTTTAAAACGCCAGGGATGAATTAAAGGGCACTCTGCAATCAGCAGGGATGACGTCGGGCCCGGGCTTCCGGGACACTTGCTCAACGGCGGTCGGTCCGGCGATCGACAGTCCTCGCGCGCTGTGACAGCCGCATTAAAGTGAATGCCTTGGCCGCGACTGATGCCAGCGCCATGAAAAACCCGGCCTGGCTCATTTCGCTAATGGAGCAAGGCGAGGATGGGTTATTAGAACAGATAACGGTGACAACCCAACGTTGTGAAATGAGGTCCGCGATTCCCGAACGTTGGTCCAGTGAAAGCCGCGCTGAGCGTCCAGGGTAACATCCCGGGATGACTCCCCCCACCCCCCCCCCGCCTCCTTGGAATGTTTGACCAATCCCTTTTAAAGTATATGTTTCTTGCGTGGGAGGAAGAAAACCCACGCGAAAGTGAGAGTAGTGCACGTCTGAGAACCAGCGGCACGGATGGCTCGACGGAAACCTTAGACGATGCATTTCCGATAACCTCGGGGGGGGGGGGGGGGGGGCAGCGGAGGGGAGGGACTTTGGGCGACTGTAGTAAAAAAAAAACCCATTCCCCATTTCGTATCAATATTTAATTACACGGGAAAATGGAGCTACGCACGCGCGCGCAAAAGCGGCGATTATCCCGGTGGTGGCACACAGCGGTCCCAAGCGTGCCGAGGCAACCACAGAACACGGTGCCCACTCGGAAGGTACAGCGGCTGGCAACCACCACCAGCCTCGTCCCCGCTGCCTCAACTCAAGGTCGACACTGCCCCCCGTTCACAGCTGCCCTGCTGATATGCGGTTAAAAAGCTGCCAGCCGCCGTTTGGTTTGCTATTCGGTGGGACGTCACGCTGTCTCGTCGACTGCCTGGTGCCTATTTCGTTTTGCCATTTGGTCCGCTGTCTGTCCGGTTGCGCTGCCGTCTTGCATTGCACCGTTGGTCACGTGTCTGCTGGTGTCGTGTGTCACGCGGCACACGCTGCTGTCAGGCGTTTCGGGTTCAACTTTTAAATATTACTCGCAAATTACTTAACTGGGTGAGACCAACGCAGCAACGTTGCCCGCTATTGGCAGGCTACACTGCTCTGTGAAAGAGTACCTTGAGCCCGCACTGCTGCAAATACCTAATGTCTTATAATGATAATAATTATAATATTCTTATATTATTTCTCATAACAGGGAATTATGTTTCTAGCCGCAACAGTGGAGTCTGCAACAAAAAGTACCACTGCCTTTACAACTGTGCTGCTGATGCTGCTGCTACTGATGATGATGATGCTGCTGCTACTGTTGCTGCTGCTGATGAGGTTGATGGTGTGGTGCTGCTACTGCTGCCAATGCCGCTGCTATTGCTGGTGCTGTTGCAGCTGCTACTGATGACGTTGATTGTGCTGCGACTGCTGCTACTGATGATGTTTGATGGTGCTCCTACTGCTGCTTCTGCATACTGCTGATCATGATGCTGCTCCTGATGCTGCTGCTGCCACTACTGATGCTGCTGGTCCCGCTTCTGGCACTCACTTCGGACAGCTGCAGCCGCGTGCCCAGGCTGCGGATGACGTCTTCGGAGAGGTCAGAGTTCTCCGAGTCCCACACGAGTCCAAGCGTCACGATCTCCGGGGAGTTCATCAGCACCTTGCGCAGACGCACCTGCCGCTCGCCGCAGTTGCTCTGCAACCGCATCACAGGGTATGTTGGGTAGGTAGGTTGGGTGGGTTGGGGTGGGTGGGGATATCCACAACCGTTGCCAGTCAGCAAAACTGGACTTTGAAGACGTACTCTCAAACTTTGGCCATTGCGGCGTTTTCCCCATCGCGAATTTGACCATTCGTGCCAAATCTGTGGAGGTACAATTCGCCGTCGGCGCCCCCGAGCGGCGTCTGTCTGCCGTAAAGGGGGAAACGGAAGGGTTAAGGAAGTTACTCACGCCTCCCTGGGAAAATAAGACATTTTTTCATTTTTACCAAATGGAAAGCGCCCACCGTGGTGTGCCAATGTTTATCACGAAAATTATCGCGGCGCCTCCAGCGAGAAATGGAACGAGAACACGAGAAGTGCCACGGGCCACGAGCACGTGGGCGGGGGGTCGGGGTGATGCGGGGTGACGCGGGGTCACATGGGGTCCTACGGTCCACGTCTGCTAGCGGCGCCGCCGATTGAGCTGTTGGGGGTGGGAGGGGGGGGGTCACGGGCGTCGGGATCGATCGGCGGTGCGCAACCCCGCCTGCTCCACCCGCTCCGAACGATCGGCCATCAAGTGAGCGTCAGCGGCTCCCGACGTTCGGTACGGAGCGTTTCACCGACGCGAGGCGCACGTGGCGGCAGCTGCTGCTGAGGGGGGAGGCAACGCCTGCTGTGGTTTCAGTTACGGAGCGATGGAGATGTGGGCACGCAAAGATCGCGATGGACAAGAGCAACAACAATCGCCGTTCGCCATCAAGTGGCAGTGCCATCACCATGGCGCTTGTGCCACACACACACAAACACGTGCTACGAAGCTACTGTATGGATCGATGGGCCCCCAATTGTAACAATGTGGAATTTCCACCAACATTGCTCCACTTCAGCTTGAGGCACACGTGTGGTCGCGAGCATCACGGAAGATGTATTTGGTTTTTGTAACTGATGTGCAAGTCCTGGGGATTTTGAGACCTTGCGGGAGGTTACGGAAAGGGTGGAAATGTATTCAGAAGTTTGTAAACTCACGTTGTGAATAGTAATAATAATAATGTTCTTTATCTGGTCCAACATCAATCCAGAATGGGTGAAATATACTCAACAGTCATTGTGTTTATGCAGAAACCGAGCTGGAACTAGGAATGTGGAATGGTCACCACTGTCAACATAGGGGAGGCCCAGGGCCAGTTCAGACATTCGCCAACGATTTTGGCTGCGTGCGGGAATCGAACTCGGGTCGCCGGTCCGGAGCACAGTGCGGCTAAACGCAGCAACCCCCGCTTAAGGCACACGTGCGCTGGTCATTTGATCTCTTATTCAAATCGGATGCGAGCCCAGTGAGACTCTCGCATGTCTTGCAATAGAATTGGAAAGACGAGAACCCAATGCGTCTTTTGAAATGGAATTAAAAAGTGCATCTGTGCAGAGGAATTATAAACAAAACAAAATATATATAAAAATCAATCACGAATCACAAAACCCAGCACAAGGAAATGAAACAAATCGTATTACAGGAAACCCTTGAATGTCGCAGGTTTATCATTCGCGGTTTCAGTCTATCACGGGCAACCTCTTTGTACGCAAATTTAGCTATCGTGGGGGTTTAGTTTTGGCCTTTCGTGGGTGAACTGTACCCGGAAGTAGTGTATCATTGGCTGATACTGTTGGGGCAAGTGCCGTTAGCGAACATCTATGAAGGCTGACACGGCACACGAGGAGGTGGTGGGTGGCTAGCACCACACACGGCCGCCATTGTCTCCCAAGTGGCGACGTTTACACATCGCACCAGGCACTCATTTAAGGCCAACTCGACTGGTTCAGATATAATTGTCACCTGGTGTTGACCGTGAACAAGAACCGAACTCGGGTCGCCGGGTTCGCAGTGCAGTGCGCTAACCGTAGCACAACCGCTCCCCATACACACACCCGCTTTCGATCATCATCCAAAACGGGTACAGTGAAACCTTGGATTGCGAGTAACTTGGTCTGTGAGTGTTTTGCAAGACGAGCAAAAATTGAAAATAAATTTTAATTTGATAAACGAGCGAGGGTCTTGCAATACGAGTAGTACGTATACACTTTGTCTGCCGAGCGTCGCGTGATCACAACTGATATACAAGTGCTTTGGATTACAAACACGTTTCCGGAACGAATTATGCTCGCAATCCAAAGTTTTACTGTATTTCTACTTCTATATATTGTTTTTGTATTGGGTTTTTAAGTATTATTTCAATTATTTTGTTATTAGTTCATTTGGCATACAGTAGAGTACTTTTTCAATTGTGATGTTGTCTATTCCTGGTTGCCGTGGACCTCACCCCTCTATTAATCTAAGGCTTAGGGGGAATTGAAGATCGTGTTTTGGCTTTCGTGGAACTTTTCAAGAACGTGACCCCCACAATATTTAATGGTCTCCTGTATTTGTAAATCAGCTAACGGTCTGCGCGCACACACACACACGTATTACGAGGGCAGTGGAACACGCTGGACGGAGTTGGCTGGGCTATTCCCCGGGGGGTTCACAGAGCACGTGTCACAAAGCAAGGCCCGGGGGGGGGGGGGGGGGGGGGAGCAGTGCTGCCGAGACCACGCCAGCCTCAAAGTCGAGGAAAACTCTCGTGATTGAAGCAGGCTGCCCCCACGCGACGAGGCGACTGCGGTCAGCTCTCCTCCGGAGGGGGGGGGGGGAGTTGACGTCGGATCAAAGGCCCCCGGACAAACGGCCGGAGCGAAACGAGTCACGCGGAGGAGCGAGAGACGCCGACCTGCGCGCTGACGCGGCAATGGGTCCCATCGCCCCGTTCTAAGCGCGACACGGAGGCAGATAAGGAAATGCCGCTGAAATGCACAGAGTATAAAATGGAGCCCTACAACGATAATACAACTGTAATGGGTTCAACACCAGTGGAGACTAGGCTCTAAGAAAAGCCGTCTCGGGTGTGGACCAATCAAATTCAAGGACAGTGCATATTATCAGAGTTGTCTCTTTTGTTTGCATTTTGACTGCTTGTGTTGTGGTTATTGCAAACATGTCATTTTTTTGTGCCAGTTAAAAGGGTAAAACATAATACTATATGGGTTCAACTGAGTCGAAGACGTAGACTTGGAGGCAACACATTTAACAGAATAACAACCTATAGTGGTGACCACCAGGCTAACTACACTAGTTACAATGTAACTGCTACTACGGACCGGGACCAACAGCTTCGGCCCGGGTTCACGTGTTGGAGACTCGTTGAACGGAGAAGAGAGACGAAGGTTTCTTCCAGGATGAACAACAACGACCCCGGTGGTCCCTCTCGGGACCCGGCTGATATTCTCTGTGGCGTGGCTGGCTCCGCCCTTGGCCACAACCACCTTCTAGAATCCTCGGGAAGGATCTGGGTTCCCAATCACGTGACCATCCCTAGCCCCCTCTTGGGGCCCCTTCATCAACTTAACCGGTCACGTGTCCTCCCTGGTCAACCAGAGTGCCATGGCCTCACGTAACCTCATCCTTCTGTCGGCACCCGCACACCCTGTCCTGTAGGGTCGGCACTGCACGTAAAGCGTGGTGCCATCCAGCGCTATCATTCATGGCTCACCGGGCCCCTTTAGGGCCGGTACTACACCCACACCATTGTGGTATCCGTGATGTCATTACACCACACACCGTGCCTTTCTAGGGCCGGCACTGCACCCAGCATGTTGACATCCAGCGATGTCACTACACAACTACAAACACGACGACAACACGTGCAATGTATTTTCTCTGGTAGATATCAATAAAACACCAATTTTCTGAGTCTCATTAAGCGAGGCGGGGGGCGGTGAGGGGGGGCGGTGGGGGGGGCGGGGTTAGAGTTCGGCGACCGCCGCCATCGCCCCCCTCCCCCCCCTCTGGATCCGCTGCTGTCGCGACCGAAGCAGCGCGGAGGGAATTAAACGAAACGGCGAGCGCGTGACGCCAAGCGAGCAAACGAACACTCGCCGCGCCGGAACCTCCGCCGCCGTTGTCGGGGACAACGGCAACGCCGAGCGGTGATACACGGGTGCGAAGACGACAACAATATTTACAGCGCCGGGGCGCCTGCACACCATTTAAGGACGCATTAATAGCGGACCGCAGCTAAGTAATAGTGACACGTTATTACATCTTTACGACGATGGGCACGGTGATTTACGGTGGCGATTTAATTCGAATTAGGGCGTACGAATGATGCGAATGTGCGGGCGAGACACAGAGGGGGGGGGGGGGGGGAAATCACTTCCACTACGTGTTCATTTAGCACACATCACCTCTCAAAGCCCCGAGTCAGCAGCCGAGCTCGTAACAGGCTTACAGAAAAATCAATGGGCCGGATTTTTAAGTTATACGCAGCGCGTTCAATTAATATCAGACACCCGGGCGCGCATTTTTCAAAGCGGGGCGGGGTGGGGGGAGTGGCAGTGTTGAAACGCCGCGCGCTGGCAGATCCGCGTTCCACTCGCGCGCGCGAGCGGGAGAGGGGGCTACCCAGCGCGAGCACAGCGGTCTCTCCCATCGTAGCAGCCGAGCGGTATTTATGGCCCATGGGCCGTGCGCAGAGCTGCCCGCGACGGTGGCGGCGACGACGCTGCAGCAGCAGTAGAGTACGCCGTTGGAATTTACACGGCGACGTGCGAGCCCACGCCCGTGTCTCCGAATGCGAATCGGATTGATTTAGATTGCAGGAGGAATCCGAGAAGCTGGAAATATTTTTTTTCACAGATGTCCAGAAGGGGCACGCCATAACGTTACAACGACAAACAATACAACAATACGACGGGAGTGCTAATTATGGGAAAGGTAAACAAATAACTTAAAAATATACACAGTTTAAACTAAAACTATTGCTTTGTAATCTTACCAGGGTCAAGATCACCGAGGTATTCGCGTATTTTTCAGAAGCAACCTGGCCACAAATGACAGCTCAACGGTGGGACACTTTGATTCGAGAGGGAGAGGTGGCCACAAATAATAAAACAAAGGGAGG